GCCAAGGAAACCCGAAGGAGCTGAGCAGACAGGACGAACGAGTGTCAATACAATTTCCCAGGCAATTCGATGCGGAAAAGTCAGCGCCAGGGAAATGCAGATGACTTGTGGGTGGGTGTGTGTGTGTGTGTGTGTGTGTGTGGGTGTGTGGGTGTCAGCTTAAAATGCGATCAGCTCCTTCGACAGCTAAGCTCCACTTGCCAGGCAATTTTCTTCAAGGCGCTGACATTTCTGGTTACAAATATGTGCAAATTCTGGGAATTATTTCCCTGGCGAACTTTTGATGTTGTTTTTTCTTTTTCTCTAAGGGCAGGCTGAGGCCAGAAATGTTTGTTAACTGCCAAATCAATCGACGCCAATCGATGTTTTTTGGGGCAAAAACGCATCGTTGGCCTATTAAAAACCAATTTAATTTACTGGGCATGAACGGAGTGAGGAGATTGTGGGGTTAAAAAGTACACGGAAAAGTTCGGTTTAATGGGAAAATATTTCTTAATTTAATTTTGTATTAAATTTTAAAATTATTAACTTGAATTAAAAGCTGTTTTTGGATTAGTCACTGCTATCTCTAGTACCCATTTGGTAAAAGACTTCCATATCAAGCAAGTAGATTCAGCTAAGAATTTTAGTCATCTGCAAAACCTTCAATTAATCAATCTTCTGTTTAAAATATAGTGCCAAAATATGTAAAAAAAGAGACAAATAAATAACATTTATGGGATATTACATTTTTATATACAAAAAGAATTTATTATGATATTTCATGAATACTATAATGAAGTTCATTATAGAAAATTGTAAAATATTTTATATATATTTCTCTCTATTTAGTAACCTACAAAAATGCTTTATTTAAGTAAATAAATAATAAATATAAATATAAGAGAAAACAAAAAAGGAAACTACTTTAGGGCAGCCAAGGTTTAAATACCCTTGAAGTTTGCAATTCAATTTTAGGATCGAATCGGAAATTTAATATAGCTAAGCTTTAAATATTCTCATTTGAATAACTAAGCCAAAAAAGCACTAATTTTAGTTCGAAAAGCTGTCCCATGCAAGTTTTTATGAAGCTAATTACAATTTAAACGATGTAACCCTATATAAAATTTTGAAAATATTAAATTTTACCGGACATGGCTAGATCGATTCGGCTGTTGATTCTGATCAAGAATATATATGCTTTATAGGGTCGGAAATGACTCCTTCACATCGTTATAAGCATCTGAATGAAATTAGAATACTTTGCAATAAATAATAAATATCCTTGCCTAACAGCATTAAAAAAATAAATCTTAATACCAAATCATTAATAAACCCCTCCCTATTTTTCTCTCTGTGCATGGAACACATTTTCAGCAACCACGAAATTTGATCAGAGATAAATTCCAATTATTAAAATCGAATTTGCACAGCAAGTCACCACACACACTCCTCCCCTTAACATGTTCTTGCAACATGGCAGCATGCAATGGGCGTGGCATGAATGGAGGGGGGGGAGGCGGAATATGTTGCATTTTAGGAGAAAAGCCATTGAAACATTTTATCAAATTCTAATTATGCAAAATGGAGGGGAAAAAAGCAATTAAACCGAATGTCCCCAAATGTTCAGATCCAACTAACTATAAAATGTGCAAATTATCAGATCTCCTAAAGAATCCATTGTGGGGCACGGGTGTGTCTGTATGTGTGTATGTGGGCGTGGCAAACACACACTGTTCGGTGAAAGAAACTACATTTTCTTTCTCGGATGCATATACATTTTCCAATTAACTCCACCACTGACCAGCTGTAAGCTTAACAAATTTCCCGTGAAATAGTATTTTTTAGTTGCTGCTGCACCAATAAATTGTCAAATCTACAAATCAACAATAACTATGTATATATATGTTGTGGAACGGCGACGGCTTAGTGGGTGTTATGGGTTGGATTACGTGTACAAAATGTAATTCCCCGTTAACGCTTCATAAAATTGCACTTTAAACAATCGAATTGACCCGAGACGGGAAAAAGCGAGAAATACAAAAACCGGAAGCGCACACAATTGCGATGGCATAAAGTATAAATTGTAAATAAATAAATGTTATTGCAAGGCGAATGGGATTCTCTTTGCTTTTGTTTCACATTTTCTGCATCATAGGCGCATATCCATTTGACAATTGACAGCATAACGAATGGCGAAAACGAGAGGAAATAAATAAAAACAATTGCGAAACATTGTGAATTATAAGCAAACAGTGCAATAAGCACGCATGACAACAAAAAGAAAATAGCCATCAACTATCAATATCAAGTGATGGCAAAAATCTACAAAATTTCAGATTCCCGGACAAAAAGTTAAATTTTTAAATGAATTTAATACATTTAATATATTTAGGATTTAGAATCTCTTAAGTACTTATAACAAATCCTAAAACTTAATACTTATTATTATTATTCTTTATAGTTAAACTTCACTTTGTTTTTTCTTTAACTTCAAAATTAAAAAATTTTAAGCTTTCAGTGTATCTTAAGAAATATATTTTCACATTCTTACTTACATGAAAATTAATAAATACATTTTTTATTAAAAGCTTTAGGTCCCTTTAAATATCCTCTCTTTTTTTATAACCCAAATTCCATTGCATATTCACAGGCGCCAATCGAAATTATTCGATGCTGCGCGTCGTTCGCCTGCTCCAAATACATATAATTTAATGTTCTTTAATATGCTCATATTAATGATAAAAGGAATAATAACAAAGTGTATAAAAACAAATATAAATAATGCATTAATACAATGACGGGCAGACAGCGAAAAAAATAAAGACGCGACCCATTAACTTAAATGCTCGCTCTCAGTCCATCTCCCCTCCAGTTTTCGCTCTGGTTATTTTTGAAGCTTTGTCATGAAATATGCATGCCTTATATTTACACGAAAAAAAACATTAATTTTGCAATTTCACTGGCATTTCTTTGATATATACGCATAGATGTAGGGTTGCCTCTTTTTTTTGGGAGTTTAAACGGTGTAAAATTGAGAAATGATATGCCATAAATATGAAATGAAATTGGAGCCATATGTGAAATAACATTGGATATATTACAGATATTTTTTATTTAAGGTATATAGTCCTAGGATGTATAAATAATATTGTATGTTATTTCTTTTGTGTAGAGAGATATCACAGGAGCTTAAATTCACTTTTAAATGAGACCAAAACTATGCTAAAGAATATATTCAAGGATTCAAAATAATGAATTTTCATTATTTATATGAAATAAAATATTTAAATATATAATTAAAGTCAGTTAAATTTAAATTTTAAATATAGCATCTATAAATAAAACTAATAATAATTCCCATTCAGCAAATCCTTGGAAATTCCAAAAATATATTTCCCATTATTAATCAAATTCAAATATGATTTACGCAAATCTCTATGCCACTTCCGAATATCCCTGTCCTGATTTCCAAAAAATATTATTTATTATTCCCATTTTCGCTGGTCACATAAATCAAATGGAAAAGCTGCAACTGCAACTGCAACCAGTTTCTGTTTAGAGGAAACGCTTAAGAGCGGCACAGCGGATCGTTATTCAATTATTTGTGAACGCTAATTAGTCGCCGCACGATTATTATTTCTACTTTTGACATGAGCATTGAACACACACGCACACACGAAATAAAAATAAAATCAATTAGGGGAACCAGCAAACAAAATGGCAAATAATCTCACCATGGCTCCGATGATAAGGCCTGGCTATTATGATGGATATTTCATGTGACACACTGCTGGCCGAAACTGGTCGTCGTCGTTGACCCCATTGGGATGCTGTTTTGTTTCCGTTTCCGCTGTGTGGCCGCCATGACAGCTGCGACTCTGCCAAAGCCACCACACTCCACCTCACCCCGGGGATTTTAGCTTTGTGTCCCCGTTTTTATAATAATTTCTATATATCAATGTACACACAAAGAACAAAATTACATTTTGGCTTATTAATTTATGCACGAGAACGAATGAATTGATTTGTGGGTGAGTGTGTGCGCATAAATATGCAGTTTTAAATTAGAAAATTAGCACAAAATGTTACGCGAAAAGATTGATTCGTAAACCGAACCGAACGCCAGCTGGAAACTGAAAAGTAAGCTGAGTATTTCCAAAACCATATGCCAATTATGCTGCCCCAATATTATGTTTGGATACACTTGAGTAGGTCTGGAGAACTGCGAAAGAAAATACTTGTATCCGAAGACCAGTAACGAAGAGTGTATGTGTGTGTATCTGTGTGAGGGAGCGATCAATCGGAACGATACCAAATGGTTATGATAAATGCCAAATTAAAACCATAAAAACAGGGTTACCTGGATATTTATTTATTGAAAATAAAATTAAGAATTTTTAAATGAATTAAAAAAAAAACAAGAAAGAAAACGCGTTGGAAAGCCAAAATATATATACCACTTTCAATAAATCGAAGTCTTTCGAATATCATTGCAAAGTAGAAAATACATTAATTTAATTCGGAAAACTTTGCAGTGTTAGTTTTAATTCAGGTAATTAATCTGCATACCTAATTTAAAATTAAAAAAACATTAAAATTTTTCCCAATTCATGACAATTTTAACAATGTAACCCCTTATAAAATTTTGAAAACTTTCGAAATTTATTTTGCTTCCTGACTTGGCTAAAAAAACTCAGCTGTTTATCCGGATCAAGAATATATATGATTTAGAGTGTCGGAAAGACACCTTCATAGCGTTGCAACCTTAAGCCTAAACATAAAATATTTATCTTTAACTGTTTCTTATTGTATACTTTTGATTATTATTGTGTTTATATTTTATAATAGTTTTAAATAAAAGTAAGTAAAGCAATTATATATCTTCCCATAATCTTGGCCTCCACTGTACCGTTGGGTGCAAAACTTGGATAAGCCCAAAGAGAATCCATTCTCGGGTTCGTGTCTATGTTTGGCACGATAATTAACATATCGTTTATTATCGCTGACGTCTTATTCCTAACAGAAAGAATATATCGATAAAGTCTCATCACCAAGCAGCTGTTCCCAATGTTTGAAAGGTAAACAATATTTGCAATTCAAAAGCTTTTAAAAATAATCAACTAAACCTAATTTAGATGAGCCCAATGGGACGCAAACCACCAGTTTCGTGGTCGCAACATTACGAACTGATGCTTTTCGATATGTGGGAGAAAAACTTGAGCGATTTGGAGCCCGGTTCCGGCAAAATGAATATTGAAATTTACAAAATGATGGCGCAAAAGCTGGACGATGCTGGTTTTATTGGAATCGAGTGGAAATCGGTATGCACCAAGCTGCACAACATAACCAGGAAGTATAGGTAAATTCCCGGATTCCCACAGCTGAAGCTATAGACCCTTAACACTTTTCCATTTCAGATTGGAGGCCAAAGAGCCGGTGTCGAATTGGATTTACTTTAACAGGCTCAACAAGATGCTCAAGAACTGGAGACCTGAAAACCCACGTAATCCAGCGTACCAGAGTAAAAGTAAAGTCAAAGTTTAGAATTTAAAGGAGCGTCAGACAAAACATTTCATACAAATGTTTAATTTCAGAAAAGAGTTTTGAGGAGTTTAAGACAGAGTATGAAGAAACTGAATATTTGAGCGGATATCTAAAGGTCAATGGCGAACGTGAGAATGAATCTTGGCAGCAACAAATAGACCCGCTGTCACATTCTGGAGTCCTCAATGATGATCTGTCTCCTCCACCTACTCGTGAATCTGCTGGTAAGAACGAAATGACGGCCTTCGAGGCCAGAATGCTGGCAGCCTCACAGGAACGTAACAAGGAGCTGCAAAAGTTAAGGAAGGCTTTAACTGACATAGGCCAAAGGCGTCTGGGCGTCTTGGAGCGCATGGAACAAACGATGAACCGCATGGAAGAAGAAAATGCTAAATACCACCAACAAATGTTTGAAAAGAAATCATAACAAGAAGATTTCCCTCCTAAAGTCACATTTATGTAGGTCTTAGAATATAGTTTACTATAATTTAACAGTTTACATACATGTAAATGTCCACAAAAGCAACTTTTGTGGAGGAGAAATCCTTTATTTTTATCTCTAATCAAAATAGCGCCAAATATTTTTGAAAAAAGCTAAGCCAAAATAGAGCTTTCAAAAATCATTCACACAGCAGCGTTGAGAATGCCATTTTTATTCCAAGCACCCAGCGAAAGCGTCAAGAGCCCTAAGCTTAATCAAAATAAGGAAATCGAATCGTTTTACGTTGTTGGGTGTACAAAGAATAGTTTATAAAGAAAGTTATAAATAGAACTGTCGCACGTAAAAACAACACAGTGGAAAGTTTTATCCAAACGTTTAGTTCTGCCACAAGTTGAACGTAAGGCATATAATTCCAGTTATACTTCATTAATAAAGCGTGGGAGTTAATTATAAAATCAAAAATGGCTGAAGTATAGGTCGTGTAAATATTACAAATTACAAATCAGAAACTAACCGGCTAATTACATTCTCAAGGTTATTGTACGTTTTAAATGCAAATCAAGCTACACATGTAAAATTAAATTGAAATGCACAGTGCTTAAGTAATTTATAGTAGAAACACTTGTTACCACCTGAAAGGCAAAGCCAAACAATCAAACAAATTGTTATCGGGATAATGTAATCTAATATATCACTGCAATGGAAGAAAATATGGTGGAAGCTGTTTATATTTATAATGATACGAAAAACAAAGTCTGCGATATTACAAAATAAAATAGATTTAGTTAAATTTTAAAGCTTTGCTAATCATTACCATAATCCTGCTAGTCATTACCATTATGAGTGAGTTATATACCGAAAAAAATGTATAAATATGGTAAAATAAGTAATACCACTTTTAATTAAATATTACCTATACGAAAGATTCCCATAATAAATAAAATTATGCATTATATTCATTCGCAATTATCTTTTATCTGTGTTCAGTAGTGCGAACGTGACAAGAATTTTTGATTTATTGAGGGAATTATTGTCAACGAGAGAGAGAGAGAAAGGAGAGAGAGGCTTGTTCGATCAACTGATAACTTTGGATTGCCATACAGGTGGCATCCAGAATAATTCAAGTAACGCTCAAACAAGGTCAAACTCAATAACATTGTGAAATAGTACCATTATTACTTTTGGTCGATTTCCTTTCAAACAATTGCTGGAGGAAGATAAACACTCGAACCAAAAGGGAGAGAGCTTCTCGCATACTCTCCTTCTCTTCGCTGATAAGGGGAATGCTCCGCTCTGGTTCCCACCCATATTTAATAAACAACCCACTTGGCTCCTCACTCATTCGCAGCCCGTCCCAGTAACCACCAGCAACATGTCGAAACTGATCCGTTGGGGAATTGCTTCAGCTGGCAAGATCAGCGAGGATTTTGTCATCGCTCTGAGCACCCTGCCCGCCACTGATCACAAGGTCCAGGCTGTTGCCGCCCGATCCCTGGATCGTGCCCAGGAATTTGCCACCAAGCACTCCATCCCCAAGGCTCTCGGAAGTTACGAGGAGCTGGCCAAGAGCGGTGATGTGGGTGAGTAAATGTTGGGATACTATTAACTACTTCTATACTACTAACTTAAATAAAGATTTTCAAACTTAGAATGGTACAAAAACTAATTAATCTTAACTCTATATCCTAGATGTTGTCTATATTGGCACCCTAAACCCCCAGCACTACGAGGTCGCCGTGCTGATGCTGAACAATGGCAAGCATGTGCTCTGCGAGAAGCCTCTGGCCATGAACAAGAAGCAAGTGGAGGGCATCCTGGCGGCGGCGAAGGCCAACAAGAGATTCTTCATGGAGGCGGTGTGGTCTCGCTTCTTCCCCTCATACCAGCGTGTCAAGGAGCTCATTGCTAGTGGACAGCTGGGACAGATCAAGGATGTGGAGGTGAACTTTGGCTTCCCCTAGAGCATGTGGATCGTTTGCAGTGAGTAAAGGAGTATTACAAAATATTAAAACAAATATAACTCAATAAATTTTAATTCTTTACCCAGGAAACGCGAGCTCGGAGGTGGAGTGGTTTACGATCTCGGTATCTACACCATTCAGGCCTCGCAGTGGGCCTTCCAGGAGAAGCCCCAGAAGATCGAGTCCAAGGGATCCCTTAATGCCGAGGGCATCGACGATGATGTGAGTGCCACGTTGACCTACAGTGGCGGACGCACCGCTCGCATGCGCTTCTCCTCCAAGGAAAAGCTGTCCAACACTGCTGTGATCAAGGGCACCAAAGGACAGGTTACCGTAAGTCTAATCTAATCAATCATGATTTAACAGAATTAATATATATATATTCTTAATTATCCCATTAGCTGATTGACTTCTGGTCGCCAAACAAACTGATCGACATCGATGGTCAGGAGAAGGAATGGCTGCCCCCCAAGGGCAAGTACCAGACCAACTATGCCAACTCCGAGGCCATGAGATACGAGGCTGAGGCTGTGCGTCAGTCCATCCTCGCTGGTGAAGTGGAGAATAAGAATGTATCTTATGCTGATAGCTTGCTCTTTGCCGAGATCGAGGATACCATCCGCAAGCAGATCGGTGTGCTGAATAAGTTCGATGAGGAATAAATGTAGATTTTATATAATTAAACATGTAACATAAAATATTAAAAAGTAATTTGAAAAAGTCATTACATTTTTATATATCTTAAGTGGATAATTGTTAAACGTTTGTCTCTCTATATTTTCTTCCTCATTTAAAACTTTACCCCTCTCTTAATCAAGTATTGACAAACAATCCGATAAGGAAAAGTATTGATTATAAAAGCCCCAGCAATGACATTCCCACTAGGTCGAATTCTATCCGGGGTGTAACTAAAGTAGATGATATAGCACATTTCTTCCACTATACACACAATTGATCACGTTTTCAATGCATGTTAGGCGACTTTAATTTAGGGGCTGGTAGAAGAGGCCAGCATAGACTCTTATCTTCAGGGTCTGGTGGGGTTTCTGCTCCCTTATCTCCTGTTAAGATTACCACCTACTTAGTCTAGCTAGAAAATACAAAAGGTATTACCAGCTAAGGTCTAGTCATAGCTTTTGTTATAATCTATAATATATGGGTTTAAATTATTAATTTTTTGTTTACTTTTCAAAGTTCAAGCAACTTGTGATTCTTGAATTATTCCAAGATTTCTTCACATTGTTTAATTCTTTGCGCAACTGTACCTTTAAAGTTTAGTACACTTAATATAATCTTTTGATTGTCAAGAAAAAAGGGGGCTCGTCTCAGTAGGAAAAGATAAGAACACTGTTACGACATTTTCCATTGTTCGATTGCGTAGAACAGAACACTTTAAAATTTAAAGTCTCTAGAATGTTAAGATATGTAGAGTACTTTTTGGATTTGTTATGAAATTATATGAAGGAAAACGTATTAAGTCACAATAAAAAACATTTTAAGATTTTTGTTAATATGAAGGTTAATAAATGTTTCTATGCTTATAAAACAAAACATTCATTTCCTTTTATATATTTTAAAAGGATTTTTGTATGGGTTGTTATCACTAACATTTGTTTAAATTGTTAATTTAAAACAAAGAATCTAGCAAACTATTTACTTCTCGATTAATAACTCTTACCTACTAAACAAATTCGTAACTCTGATGAATCGCCATTGTGCATTTGTGAATCTGTGCTCGGTACTCCTTATCAACTGAAATGCAATGGAATACGAAAAGTGCAATGAATGCAGATGCCAGGGACTGATAGGAGACCCCTCGGGACAGGCACTCAGTATCATTATCATGGCGTTAGTAGCTGCCCGGACACGAGCCCGAGAGAGACTCGATTCGAGAGCAGAACAGAGTCTATATATCAGGAATTATAATGCAAAGCCAGACGAATCTGAACTGGGGCATTGCGGCGGCGGGCAGAATAACGCAGGACTTTGTCACCGCCCTGGGTACTGTGGAGAAATCCCGTCATGTTGTGGTAGCTGTGGCGGATGTCGATGGCCAGCGGGCCAAGAGTTCGCTCAGAGGAACCAGATTCCGCGTCACTACGATGGATTCGATGCCTTGGCCCTGGATCGAGAGGTGGATGTGGTATATGTGGGCACGCTGAATCCCTTTCATCATGCCGTCGTCCTTCTAATGCTATCCAGGGGAAGCATGTTTTATGCGAAACTCCAATGTGCCTGGGACTGGACCAGGCCAAGGAGCTTTATGCGCTGGCAGAGCTGCGCGGAGTATTCCTCATGGAAGGTGGGTTTATCCTTTGTACGGATTAAAATACTAATTTACGTCCATCTCTAGGCATGTGGTCACGATTTTTTCCCAGCTACGATCGCTTGCGGGAGCATCTGAATAGTGACATCATTGGAGAGGTCACCCAGGTGAAGGTCCAGCATGGTTTTCGCCTGAGTCATATGGAACGGGTCTGCAATCGGTCTCTCGGTGGCTCCATTCTCCTGGACATTGGCATCTATGCTTTGCAGTTGGGTCAGTTTGTATTCGGGGTTTCACCCGTCAAAATCCTGCCCAGTGGCACGCACCTAAATAAAGAGCGAGTGGATGTTCAGGGTGAGTTCATGCTTGATTATGGAGATGGACGAAGACTTACGGCTTTGGTGACTGGATTGGAGAATCTGGAGAATGATGCCGTCATTACGGCACCAAAGGCGAGATTAAGGTGAGCGCTTATCTCCGACACATGGGATCAGGAAGATTATCAGCGTTGCCGCTGACTAAGCCACACTTTATAAATCTTCCAGCTGTCGAACTACTGGTGCTGCACCCAGATGTCCCGGTCCAATGGCCCGCCAGAGTCTTGGCCTTTGCCTCGGGCCAAATTTGATTTCCATTATACGAATACCTGTGGCCTGCGCTACGAGGCGGAGGAAGTGCGTCGCTGCATTGAGAAGCGTCTGCTGGAAAGTCCGAAGTTCACGCATGCCGAAAGTCTAGAGTTGATTGCCATAACCGACGAGATGCGTCGGCAAATTGGAGTCACCTATGATATCTAAACTATGGGGGATTAATGTCATTTTTTATTATTGAGAAGTTTTCTTACCATAGAAAACCTGTAAATGCTTAGATTAAATTTATTAATTAATTTTGCTTTAAACTTCAATAAAAGAAAATCTCAAAATATTGCTTTGTTATATACATACATAGATTATAAAATCTATAAGAGCTTGAATTATTTTGTAACACTTATTTTCGAATTCACTCAAATCCTCCCTAAAAAACAGGTACATTATTTTGTATTCAATATTTATTTAAATAATTGCCATTATTTTCTTTTGTCGTTTTCATTTTTTCTCATTTGTTTTGTCGTTATCAAGTTGAATATACATATTTCTAAACCATGTCTAAAGCATGCATGTTGTTCTGATTTTTTTCTATTTGCTGCCATTTTGTTGTTGATTTTGTTGGTTCATTAAGGCTAAGAGGCTTGAGGGTCAGAAATGAGGAACTTAGAAACTAAATGAATACTTCTTAATTCGCAGCGAAGGACTGCGGACAACAGACGAAATTATAAAAGGTGTAGTTAAATGTTAAGATTGGCCTGTTAAATGCAAACAATACAAAAACACAAAAGTTAAGCGGGGGATAAATCAGATTTGACACACAGATTTTTTCTTTTTCTTGTTTGGATACAACTCGGAGGCTCTAGCTCATTAAATTCATAAAAGCCACGCATTTAAACAATTTAATTATATTTTTGATTACCTCTTTTTTAACACGTAATCAATTTGTTCGTTTTATAGATTACTCAAAAAAATTGGAATTAGTTGAGGTTGAAGTTGATGTTGGGGAAGAAAATATACCCTAAGCAACAGAGTAACTAAATTACATTATATCTTACAAGACTAATTAGAATTTAACAATAAAAATTATTTATACAAGGCGGTTTTGAGCCGCTCTACTGAAGAGGTCTTTGAAAAATCAAGGAGACACACTATCGCCCATTCTGCGATCTATTTTGATTCCTGCCCCTGATTTTCCATCTTCCATTTTTTTTCTTGTCTCCGTTTTCTTTCCCTGCCCCGCCTCACCGATGCCGCCTTAAGCTTAATGAAGTCTTTTCGCTGTGTAAAATTGCTATAAAAACTATTCCCAGCTCTCTCATTGTTACTTTTAATTCAATTTAAGGGTGTGGTCGCTTTTCTTTCTCCGCAACTCCAAGTAGCTTTGTCAAAGAGTCTAATTACATATTTTTATATGAAAGATAACTGAATTTTCATAAATGTGCAATTAAAAAATAATGGAATCTTGGGTTCAAATAAAAAATATACTAAAATATTTTCCACTTTTGAAAATTAAACTTAATAAAAGGAATTCATGCAATTTAAAATATAGTTCTAGAAGCTACTCAACATTCCACGAATAGTTTTTATGACAAGGTTACTGAGAATTGAACAAAGATACCTTCAAACGACACACACACCTTTGATCCCACTCTAAGTAGACTCATTTAGAGACTGATGTTGCTGGTCTAGCGGCTGGCGGGGCTGTGGTGCAGTGGGAGGAGCAGGAACAGGAGCGGGAGGCTGTGGCAGGCCAACGTTGTCATCGGTGGCAGTTTGCTCTCCACGACGGCGACAATGGGCGCAGGATTAATCAGCGGCGGGGGCAACGCCTCGAAATTCATACATCCACGCTGGGTTTCTTCCATAATGGGCGGTGTGTCTATAGAATCAATTGTGGTTGTACAGGAGGTGGCTCTTCCGGCGCCACTATAACCCTCCGAAACAGCCACCAGGGCGGCGGTGGTGTTGCGGTTGTGCTGCAGCAGATCGTTGATCTGGGAGAGGCGCGAGGAACTGGCGATCGGTGTGCTCAAGCTAATAAATTCATTGGCATTGGCCGGGGACGTGCACGAGGAGGAGGGTGCCGTGGTGGCTGGCGAGGATGCTGTTGCTGCTGCGTTTCCAACGAGACGCGACGACAAGGTGGAAGAGGCTGCGGTCATGGAGGCGACGGTGGTCTGGTATGGTGCATTGCTGGAGGCTGTCGTAGTCGCATTGCCATACGGGGGAACCGAGGGCACTGCACAAGAGCTGTAGGCACAGGAGCTGGATGCTCCTGATGCTGAAGAGGCGACGACCGGTGATGGTGAATGCGGTTGATAGGCGGTCGGATAGGAAGTAAGCTGTACAATGGATAAGGATTTATATTAGTTATGCAGCAAACTTTGAAAGCCGAGAGCTGTTTGACATAAATAAGTGCCACATGAACCAACGCTGAAGTTTGTCTTGTCTACATTAAGTTCGCTTATGACCCAGTAAGGTTAATAATACGGATTACGAACTTTTTCACTCACCTGGGCGCTGCCGTAGCTAAGCGATTGATATAGTTCTCCGTACGAGGGCGTGGCATTGCTACCACTGGCAAAGAGTCCAGAGTCTAGGCTGTCTAGCTGCGGATATCCCGCGTAGCTCTGGTTGTGCGTCGCCTGCTGGCCGGAAGCCGTGACCTGCTGTTGTTGCTGTTGGACCTGTTGTTGGTAGTAGCTCACACTGCTCTCGGGCGTGTAGGCTGGCGAGGCGTAGCCGGAACTGTAGTTGGATTGTGTTTGCAGGAAGTACGATGAGGGTGAGGCTTCCGTTCCCACCGGCGAGTAGCCAATGGTCTGCTGGGATTGTTGCTGCTGCTGCTGTTGGAGATGCCCCCCTTGGACGCCTTGAACGGAGCCCTGTCGCTGCTCCATATCCAACCGCATTACGGTGTGGATGTAGTGAGTTCGCACCCTGGTGGGATTAAATTCCACCCGTCCGACGGTATTGCCGCAGGCCTCGCGAGTACAGCCGCATGGGAACATGGCTCTGTCCACCTGGCACTTAATGCCCGCCTGGCTGCAGGCACACGTTTCCGGGTCGCAAAACTCACGGCAGGAGCAGCCACAAACCTCTCTTGAATTCCTTATATCCCGGCACTCGCTCTTCTCACTGGCATCTATCTTCCGCACTCCAGCCGCTTTCAGAAGCGCCCGTCTTTGTTTCGGTGTCACCGGCTGAAGGAAGCCATTGGAGCCATCATCCGCATCGGAGCCACTGCCCTCGCTTAGGTAATCCTCCTCCGATTCCTCACTGTCATCGCTGCTGGATCCTCTTGGCTGCAGGTCCTGGTTCTGGCTGCGATGTGCCCTTCGCAATTCCGCCGCATGTTCTGCCAGCGTCATGGTTTTAAAAGCTATATGCCTGGCCCCCATGCCCAGGGTGCATCCGCCAGCGGTGGGCACGCAACCGAATCCCTGCTGTCGCGGAAAATAGTACACCTTCACCTGGTCAAAGTTAATGGAGCGCTTGACCCGCTTTTGGGCGGCCATCGGAGGAGTCGATATGTCGGGCACCAGATCAATGCCATCGGCTTCCGAATCATCCAATCGTCGCTTGAGATTGGATCTAATGGGTTTCGGTTCTTGCTGCGGCTTTGGTGCCTCCTGTTCGGCTTCCTTTTCCGTCTGATCAGCCTTCAGCAAAGCAGTCGTTTCGCTGCCAAGTCCAGAGTCGGAGCCACCGTCTCTCAATTCGTCCTCTTTAGTCTTAGCTTGCTTAGTCGGTCCCAGGGGCTCTTGATTGGTCGGTGCCACTTTGTCTCGCGAACTGGAAGCTACTTCCGTCTCATTATCTAGCTTCAGCCAGAGCAGCTCGCCACTGGTGTCCACCTCTTCATTGGTGGTGACCGACGACGAGTCCAGTATGTTGTCAATGGCCAACGGATCCTCAGACACTGCATCGGAGGCTATCGAGGAGTTAAGATCGGCATCGCCCAGGACGATGATCTCATTGTTGGGGAAATTCTCTAGCTCTAGGAACTGCTCCTCAAGATCCGGATCCGTTGGAGCATGCGCAAAATCCGCCAGCTCATCGTCCAGCTGCTCCATCGGCAATGGTAGCAAGGCCATCGCCTTGGCCTTGGCCGCATGCACCTTGGTGGCATCGATTATCGAGGTCTTGATCTGCCGCTCAATGTCGTAGTCATCATCGTCGTCCTCACGCTGTAAATCAGGCATATCTCCCTCCTCGAGTCTCCGCTGAAGGTCCTCAGGATCAACTTCCTCACGAACCGCACCATCTTTCCTTATTTTCGTCTCGCCTTCATCGTTGGCTTTCAAGCTGTCGGTTGCTGTTGACTCTCTTTGGGTGGCCGTCGTGTTTGCTGCTGATGGGCTGAACATGTTGGAGCCGCTGGCATTTTTTTGTATATACGTGAATATCTTTTTGATGGGAGTGAACATGCTACTGCCTTTCGAGACCCCGTCAAACCTGGGCCCTAAAAAGCAGGATTCCTCCCTAGAACGCGACGCGTCCTAGGCACATCTAAAACGGTCAAGACAAAAAAAAAGAAAACTTGAGATTTACATAATGTAATGCCGGGGAAATTCCATCAAACAGGTAGGTGAAAAATTCTAGATCAGGTATGTATGTATGTGTGTATGCACTAGTATTTGTGGGAGTGCCTGTGTGTGTGCGGTGTATCCTGTGAGGCAGGATCTCCCAGTAATTTGCACAAAAGCACAATCAAATATCTAGAGCACACAACTGAAAAACGAAATCAATATTGATTAGCTTGCAAGAGACACGCACCTTTTGCGATTATTTATCAGAGTTAAATCGAACCAAAGGACTCGCGAGATCACCTTTGTAATCCTTTTTCGAATTTGCGTTGCAGCTGCGACAAAAAATAAAACGGCAATGGGCAAAAACTAAGAGCGAAAGAGACGACGAAAGGCGTGATTGTGTGCGTGTGTGTGCAGGAGGCGCAGCAGCAGCGAATGAAACGATGGCAAATCTGCGTATGTGTGCAGGACGCGGTTGTATTTCTACTATTCCATTAACAACTTTATTAATTTCACACGCAACCAATTGTACTTGTCGCTCGGCTCTACTTCTTCGAGCGAACTCTTTTTATTTCGATAGACTCTGCACTTTTCACGATTTTTCTCACTTTTTTCACAGATTCTCGCAATGTTATTACAATTTCCATTCCACCTAGCAGTGTGGCCGTAGTGGAATCTTTGCGAATTGCTGGTCGGAGCACTGCGAATATACCAGATTTGTACGAAAGACCTAGGAGAAGGGGCGCTCACGCGTGTCACGTATTCGCAGAAGTGAAATAATTGCAATTTACCCAGAGAAAATGTTTCCAAAGGCAATCCTAGTCTTTTTCATTATATAGTTTTCTAGCCAATGCTTTATTGGCCTGTATTTGACAGCTTACTCGAAATCTAGGAGTATAAACACAATGACGTCACGAGATCTGGGGCATACGATTATCGAAAATAAAAAATATACTGCAAATACTGAAGTTTTGCAATTCCTTGCCACGATAAAAATAAACAATTTCAGATGTTTTACCTCATATTCAGGCTGCAATAAGCTACAAAGGCTTAAAAATTGTCTTATATAGTTAATAAAGTGATCCAGGTCATCTAAGCATCGGACTACAATTTCTATATGAGCTTTGATATTTTATAATTAAATATTAAATTTCTTGTTTTTCCTTTTATTTTCAATTAAAAATGTAGCAAAACAGTGTTTTTATTTATTATAAATAAAAAATCCAACATATATTTTTCGTATCCAATCGATATTATTTCATCACATGGGATAGTTTTCATGTCTTTTTGACCTGGCTATTTTACGTTTTCTATCACTTCAGATTGTAAATATAAATATATTTGTTAAGTTCTACACTATTGTCTATATTATTAGACTTTAGTAATAAATACAACAATAAATTGATCAAAAATTGCAACAAAAAATACATATAAATAAATAAAAATAAATATTTAGACCCCTATCGGTTAATATAATATACACATAATATGTATAGTCTGCAACGTTTTAAAGCTAAAATAATCTGAAGCTTTTATTATAATTAAAAAATCCAACCCATATTTTGTATATCCAATCGATATTATTTGTTCACATAAGATAGTTTTCTTGTCTTTTTATCCGAGCTATTTTACGTTTTCGATCACTTCAGACTGTAAATGTAAATTTATTTGTTAAGCTCTACACTATGTTCTATGTTATTATACGTAAGTAACAAATACAACAATAAATTGACCAACAAATGCAAAAAAAAATAATAATAATAAATAAATAAAAATAAATATATATGTCAAAATTACATGAGAAATTACCAATGCTTTCTTCTAAATCTTTTTTAAGACTATCTTACTTACTTTGAAACGTATAATAAATATAAACTTATACATTTTAAAAAGAACATACTTAGAATTAACTTATTATAAAATTTTGATATTCCGATATTTAGGCCCCTATCGGTTAATATAATATACACATAATATGTATAGTCTGCAACGTTTTAGAGCTAAAAAAATCGGAAGCTTTTATTATAATTAAAAAATCCAATCAATATTTTGTATATCCAATCGATATTATTTGTTCACATGGGATAGTTTTCTTGTATTTTTACCTGAGCTTTTTACGTTTTTGATAATTTCATATTGCAAATGTAAATATATTTGTTAAGTTCTACACTATTGTCTTATGTTATAAGCCGTTAGTAATAAATACAACAATAAATTGACCAAAAATTTCAACATAAAATACATATATATAAAATAAAAAAATATATATGTATAAATTACATGACAAATTATCAATGCTTTTTCCAGAATCTTTTTTAATACCATATTATTTGTTTATTTTAAATGTATAATAGAGATATTTTTATACTTTAAACACGGAACATACTTGAAATTAACTTATTTATATATATATTGATTTTGCGATATTTAAGCCGCTATCGGTTAATGTAATTTAAACATATTACATATGCCAAAAATCCGTTATTTTGCATCGAAAACATATTCTGGCATACTTTAAGGCTAAAAATAATATATTTTGTTGAAGTTTTAACAAATTAAATAATGTAACAAATGTAATAATTTGAATTAATTAAGTTAAATAAAAATTTTTATTCGATATTTTTTTCAAGAAGAATATATTTTGTTCACATCTAGTGAGGTCACCTTAAACAAACCTAGTATGACCATCTTATTCAACGCTAGTGAGACCAGCTGTAATGGAGCCTAAAACCCTCTTTTTCTGACAAATTTTTGCAGTACAAACGGAAAACCTGGCAGAGAGTGCTAGAAAGTTGTAAGTTTTGCAAATAAACCACGTAAATTCCTCGAAACAGTGATGAGTGCAATATAACACCTGACCTTCAGGGGATCATAAAGTTCACAAAAAACGCCAGCAACGCCCTGCAGCGGTGACGTCGCCCTGGAAATCGACAAAAACAAGACTTGTGAGGAACTCCGAGAGGCGAGTCAGTCGTCAGTCGCTATCCGTCTCCCTCTGCGCTCGTTTCGTTTCGTTTTTGGGGCTGTTTTGGGGAAGTCGGGTTTGGAAAAAACGCTGATATAAACGCTTTTCTGGGCGAGCCAACAACCGTGGAGCGGCAATCTGAGTGCGGCATTAAATGTGCGTAAATCCGTGTGGTATCGAGTGATTTTGCGTTGTTGTTTTCCCCCCCACCATTAATTAAGAAAGTTGTGTAAAATTTTTCTCCCTGTCCGCCATGGTGCGAGTGCGAGAGCGAGCGCGATAGCTGGCCCTGAATTTTTGGGTGCGTTGCCCAAGTGAGCGGCTGTCAGAGCGAGATGGCCGTATGACCTGCTCCAACTGCAGCGTGCACAGTGGTTTGCGAAAGGCGAAATACTTGTGTTTTGAGCGATAAAAATTGCAATGCAGGTGCACCCAATGCACTAGTGGGAAATAAAGCAAATCGGTTCGGTTTTCATTATCTAGCGCTTTATTATAAGGTTCTTAATCGGTTGAATGGAGCGAAATTGGACGTTCTTTGTTTAGATTGTTTTGCGTCTTAATTAATGAGTAAATGTCTGTGTGTTTGTGTCAGTGCGGGTGTGCTTGAGTGTGTGTGTGCATTTATCTTCAATCCCGTTTCTTATCGTGCCAGTCACCCAAAACTCCCCCCGCTTTTCCACTGTATATTTTTCTTCAAAGCCGCAATGTAAACAAAATCGCATCCTCCATTCGCACATTTGTTTATTTTAGCTTTTTTATTTTACGCTCAGCTTACAAATGAACTCAATCGACAAAGAAAAAACGGTTGTCATTCATATCAGACTTTCTGTATGTGGCATACGTGTGATTATTGTAAATATAAGTTGCTAATTGTATTCTTATTGTACGACGACGACGTGTTTGAAATGCGTGCTGAGAAAATTGCACTTGTTGACTTTACGAGTGAGGCAATTCCACATTCCAGGTCATATTAATAGGGCCAGGACATGTCTTACAACAAAGTCGTCTTATGGTGAACGGGTTTTCCTAAAATATAACATTTTATGTATTTATATTTTTATAATGCTCCTAAGTTAATCATCAAAAAAATTTAATATTTTTTAAAATGTTAAATTCTTATCCTCTTGTAGTTGTTTTTATTATTTTTATATATCATAAACTAAAAAACACTAAAAGATTTGTAGTGCGAATACCACTACTCGATGGAATTTATTGTTATTCGTTGATCCTACTTTGATGGACATTGTTGTTTGAGCTTTGTGGTTGTTCCTCTCTGGAATTTTTCACTTGTTTTGGTATTGGTACGTGTGAATGACGCATCATCAGCTGTTCTAAAAGAACCAAGTACCGTAATTTTCTGAACCAAGCGGCCGTCCGTTGTTTTATATTTTATTGAATTTTCCGCAGACGGCGACGAAGGTTAAAGAGTGTTAAATGTTTAATTTATAGCTTTAGCCAGAGTGATAAAATAGATAGTATCTTTGCGGGTGAGTGTTGTGCTTGCCAGCTGCTAATATAAGACATGGAAAATTTCTAACTTTGCTTTATTGAAACGTCGTAGCCGGGTTTAATTAAATTTAAAAGTCGGCTTTTTGTGTGCGGCGGCCATAAAATGCCAAATACATACAGGCGTCATTTGCGAAACAACACAAACAGCAATTGTAAGCGAAATTTCTTTATCGCAATTGGGAGAGTATTTTTGTGTTTTTTGTTTAAAGAGCAAATTTGCCGCCAGAGCTTTGTGATGGTGTATTTGTGTGTGTGTGTTGGAGAGTGACTTGACAACTGACTGTGCACTTTGCTCCAATGTCTACAAAAACAATAGAAGTGCCGTGGAGAGCTGGGAAAGAGGAAGAGAAATATTTTTTTTTTTACATCGCTTCAAACAATTGTTGACTGACTGCATTTTTAATGTCATCGAGGTATAGAGAGAGAGAGAGAGAGAGAGAGAGAGAGAGAGGGAGAGCCTGCATATTTTACTTAGCTCCCCCGCACCAGCTTCTTCGTTAATTTAATAACACCGCACAGACACAGCTACTACAACTACACTATTTGTCATGCTTTTACTTTCTCCTTGCTTTTTTACCTTCGTGAATGAGACGCTTTAATTTGTTTTGCATTGATTTTTATCACAGCTTCCGCCCCCGTTTTGTCTCTCTCTCTCTTTATTGAATTCTCTCCACTTTTAGTAAATGTTTCTCCGCATGTTTTTTTTTTGTAGAATTGGATCTGTTGATCTTTGTAGACTTATCTGTACAGTCTGGCATCAATGTGTTAATTAATCACTGCTGGAATGGAAGATTATACAAACTTGAGGTCTAGTCTTCTGAACTTTCCCAAATAACACTATATTTTTTGTCAAAGATCAGCATTTAATGTGCTTTAAATTAAGTTTAGTTACTGCGGGACAGTGTGGTATATGACTCATGGAAGTTCGAGTGATAACAACAATCTATTCCTACAACCCATGAATAATGCGAGGCGTCCTCTCTCCGGCCTACATTTTATATGTACACATATTTATATTCAATATCTTTATATACAAACAATTGTGTATTTATGAATAACCCGCCCTCGAAAAAGTTTATCAGAAATTTTATGCGATATCAGTTGGTATAGTAGCCCCTAAGGAGATACATTAAAAGTTTTTAGGGGAATTGCGATAAGACAGATGATTTGCCGGGGACCAATACTTTTGTTCGTATAATTCCAGAACCCCCTTTTATTTGTCGCCGGGGAAAATAGGCGACTATAGGAGGGAATACAATAATTGCGCCTAAACAACAACATTCTTAAGGTTTCTTCCGATTTCTGTGTGTTTGCCAAAGTATTTTTAGTTGTTGCTGTATTTTGCTTTTGCATTAGCAATTAACTACTATAGTGTTTGTAAATGTTTGAACCTGACACGCAAGCAACTAAATTCTTGACATTGAAAACTCTGGCTTATTATCTTGGCTCTCTGAAGGTTAGTTATCCACGTGATTACCATTAAACGCTCTGTGATTCTGGTGAGATAAGAAATTTCTGTAGCTGTTGTAATGATGTTTGGCTTTAATATTCGTTCAAATACTTTTACTGGGCGTATTGCTTTCAATTTCAATGGGTTTTATCGATTACCATTTACTTGTGCCCTCTTTTATCTGGAATTCCCTCTCTCTCTCGGTGTTCCTTCTCTGATGGATGGATGATGGCGGCATTTAATGTACAAACATACTATATTGTCGGACATATTGCATTAAATATACTGGGCTTGTCGACGGCGTCATTAAACAAACGAAGGCGCCACTCTGTCCTCGTGCGCTTTTCTGTAATGTTTATCAATTACCCTACAGACATGGTCAAGAAAATAGCTCTGCAAATGATTTCCTTTGTATATAAATATTTGTGAAGCAAAAAGTTTGTTTAGAAGCCTCAAGAATATAAGCTTGTTCATAAATTAACTTGTTAATTAATTATTCTTACCTTATCTTGCAGACTCCTCACCTCACACTAATCACACACACTCCAGCTTACTTGGCACCGGAAGTGAGTTGCAGTAAACCGTCCGTAGAACTTCAATCACCAGTTGCCATCTCAGTGGAGCAGAAGCGCATCTCCGCATTTAAACCGAAAGGAAGCGATAATGGCAACCACACCACGCAGCGGCGGGGTTGGCGGCGCTGGAACAGCGACGCGTCCCAATGGCACATCGCAGAATAAAAGTTGCCAATTTAAGCTGGTGCTCCTGGGCGAATCCGCTGTGGGCAAGTCATCCCTGGTGCTGCGCTTCGTCAAGGGACAGTTCCATGAGTACCAGGAGAGCACGATAGGTGCGGCCTTTCTGACACAGACCATTTGCATAGAGGATACTGTGGTTAAGTTCGAGATTTGGGATACGGCTGGCCAAGAGCGGTAATTATAGTGTGAAAAATATATACAACACGAAATTGAGATTAATTAATTCACACCATTATTTGTATTTACAGATATCACAGCTTAGCTCCCATGTATTATCGGGGAGCGCAGGCTGCCATCGTTGTCTATGATATACAGAATCAGGACAGTTTTCAGCGTGCAAAAACTTGGGTCAAGGAACTGCATAAACAAGTGAGTGTCATTAATCTATATGTATCTTCGACTCACTTCCTGCCACAATCAAGGTCAATGCAATCTCGTGCAGAACGTTTTCATTATTGAATAAATGTGAATTCTCTTTGTTGTTGCTTATTAAGTGAACAGTGGGTGCAATGAACTGTATTCCGAGACATTTGGCATTCATCCACGCCCCATTGCATTTATTTATTTACTTGGCCATGAGGAAACTCCTTTTCAAAAGAATAATATAATAATATATAACTTAAAACATCTCCTACAAGGTATATTATAGTAAATTAATCAAATATAACATTTTGAACGAGATTATCTTTTAGACTTTACACCATTTCATATTAATTGATGTTAAATCTTTAAAATATATTCATTAATTGAACTCAATTCCTTGCAGGCCTCACCAAACATTGTCATTGCGTTGGCCGGTAATAAGGCGGATCTGTCAAACATTCGAGTGGTGGAGTTCGATGAAGCGAAGCAATATGCCGAGGAAAACGGGTTGCTCTTCATGGAAACGTCTGCGAAGACGGGCATGAATGTCAATGACATCTTCTTGGCCATTGGTAAGGCTAACGAATTTTTTGAGAGGCAATTGAACATTTATATTTACCCTGTGATTGCAGCCAAGAAACTACCTAAGAACGATGGAGCCAACAATCAAGGAACCAGCATAAGGCCGAATGGAAATGAAACAAATCGGCAGACGAACAACTGCTGCAAGTGATGTCCCTTTGTAGGTAAGTGTGTATCATTTAAAACCCATCATTTTATAACTAACGTAATTTGTTTTGTTTCAGAAAATGAAATTTCCAACGAGAGATTTGAAAAGTTTATGCTGATAATTATAAATAAAAAAATTATTTAAAAATTTAACAGAAAGCGATGAAAAGAAATACCTACAGCCGGCTCTCCCACGAGGGGCAAGCAATTTAATTTTCACAATTAATTGATTGGATTGAGAGCCACAGAAAAAAAAAACAAAACAAAACAAAATGTTATACAGAATGGCATTATAATAATTATAAATTAACTATGAAGGATCCTTTCCCAAATGATGAAAGTTAGTTACATATTCCCACACCTCGACTTTCCCCAATTAGACTCGATATCTGTCCAAAACAAATCAACTGACACGCCCCGGCAATTGAGCTAAACTATCAGTAAAAATAATAATAATAATAATGCAAACATAAACCATTTTCAATAACAATTCAAAGTAATAATAAATCTTGAACAGAAAGCGCGCAGAAGGAGGATGTTTTTGCAGAGTTCGTCGTGTCGTAGAAAGTTTCAAATTGTATTGTAAAAATCCAAAACAAAAGCAAAACAGAATATTTGTAAAGTTTACATTTCGTGTAAGTTTCTGAGCGAATTATTTAAGTGAGAGGGAAGATGATTCCAGTTGCAGTTGTTCTCAGCAGCGTTCCAAATAAAATTACAAAAAAATGAAACAAAAAAACCAACACCACAAAGAGCAGATAAGTTCGGGCCCAACGGAAGAAGCTGAAGATCCTCGCTCGCCTCGGTCTGTGGCAATGTGTGTATCTCTCCGGCTCTGAAGCGCGGTGGACACGTGTGATAGTTGCAATTTATATAAATTATATATACACATATGAAAATGAAGAAAAGAAAAGAAAAACAACCACAAAAACAACAAAAATTATGCATAATTTTTAGTTTTTTTTCATTATTATTTCTCGTCTATTTCGTTGTACTATTTTTCCACATTCTAGCAACAATCGAAGATTTACTGCTACTATCTTTAAAAATAAATGAGAAAACAAAACAAAAAAAAAGTATCGTAAAATCATAAAAATTACACTTACATTAATTGTATGCAATTAAGTAACGAGGATGACGAGGAGGAGGAAGTAAAGTGAAGTCTTAAACATAATAAACCCTGAAATACTTTACCATAAATGCAAAAATGAGAAAACAAACGTAAATAAACGAAACGAACAACCACAACAATACCATAAACTTTTTGTTTAAATATTGTTTCACAAAAACAACCAACACCGGTGATTTTTGGAATTCAATTGTATTGATTAACTCTAAAATCCGGATGCTTCTTATTTCTTTCCAATTTATAATTTTTGTGTTGTCTGTATGTAATTTAAATTTAACATTTATAAATTATAATAAATGCAAACATCGTATATACTTATATATATATGCATATATGTATGTATATGGAACCGTATATATATATAGTCATTCGATTTGGATCGAGATTGGAAAGTTCTTTGTTATTAAATCGTGGGTTTTGTTTATTTTTTAAAGCAATCCTTATCGCACAAAGTTTTCTGACCTGAAAATAACATTACTTGCCAAGTCATTGAGGCGGAATTTTTATTTTATTTGTTAGAAAGTCTGAAGAAAGCCAGACATATGTAATGACTAAATGGAGCAAGGTTTATAACAAATCAATCGTTACAACTGCAATCTTTTTCCGATCGTATTTATTGGGGCTCGATGGAGTAGCCAGCTCTTTATTATTGTTGACCACTCACCCAAGGAAGCTCGGATCGATCGGTCGACCATGGTGGCGCCAGAATATGAGGTGATAATCTTGGGTAACTCAAATGTCGGAAAATCTTCACTGCTTTCGTGTTACATAAACGGAAAAGTCCCTGAAAAAACCCAACCCACAGTGGGTGTGGAGTTTCTGGTGAAGACTATAGCTGAGAACGATTTTAATGCAAAATTAAAGATCTGGGATACGTCGGGTCAGAAGCGGTAAGTTGTGAATCATAATACATAAACATTAAAAGGACTGAAGCTTGGAATATATAGCAAGAGGAAAAATCCGCTATAATATTATGTAATATAATATATTTGATATTGAAATCATATACAGCAAAGCAACGTTAAAATATAGAATTATATATAACCTTTGCGGTACTGTTTCTATTTAGATTCATAATAATAATATAAAAATTTTCATTAAATTTAATTCTTTCTGCACTTAATTAAATATTTTTTAACTATAAGTTTTAGGGATATATTACGAAAGAATTACACAAACTTTCAAGGAGCCCTTTTGGTATACGACATTCATAATCGAGATAGCTACAATGCCGTTCAGGAATGGGCCTTTGAACTTAAGGCCAGGGTGAATATTTATATATAAATTGTTTTTGTTTTCATAGTGTAATAAACTTTTAATAATTTCAGAAAGTCATACCGAAAATAGTCATTGCCTTGGTAGGCCACCAAGCTGATATTCTCGAAAATAAAGTTATAGCTACCGAAGAGGCTGAAGAATTTGCAGAACGGAACGGTCTGATATTCTGGGAAACCTCCTCAGTTACAAATTTGAACATTAATAGGTGTTTTCTGGATGTTGGTTAGTTATATTTTCAGTCTAGTGTTAAGCTTTTTTATTAATTTCTTAATTTATTTGCTTCTTGTAGCCATTGGTATCAAAAAAGCTAGAATTCGGAGTTGTTTTGAGGCATTATTATATAAGAAAAAATCAAATTGGTATTTGTAAGCATAAAGAGATCTACAACAAAATAAATTAAAATTATCTCAATAATACTTATATTTTGTAGAAATATTTTAATTCATATATTAATCTGTAATCCGATGATGGGTATAATTGTTTAACGTAAACAGACCCAGACTTCAAGAACACTTTATAGTGTCCTCAAATTCAGAGGTGTTAATTTTTATATCAGAGTAGGCGATCCAAAGTTCTTCAAGGAGTTACGTATAATTGGGATTACTATTCAGCTGATATTTGTCCAAAGGAACTGCAGGATAATGGAATTTCCAATAGTTGTCCTGGGAGACGCATCCGTTGGTAAAACATCATTGATATCGCAATATAAATGGAATAATCTACCAACACATGAGGACTCCACAAGGGAGATGACATTCTGGTTAATAAATAAACCAATTTTGTGTCCGAAAGACAAGCTAAAAGTATGGGATACGCCAGGACGAAGGCGGTGAGTTCTTAAAAACGTAAATAAATAAAATAAAAATTAAAATAATATTATCCTGAATTTCATTTTTCTTGATTAGATTTCAAAATGTAGTTCGCAGCAATTTACCAGAGAGTAAAGGTGCCTTGGTGGTCTATGACATCCACGATCGGGAAAGCTACAGGAAGGCCAGAGATTGGGTTGCGGAACTAAAAGCATTGGTACTTTAAGAATTTGGTACTATGAAAATTTAATATTTTATAGCTCTAATTACTTTTTAACTGCAGAAGAGATCGGATAAGTTTATAATTGTCTTAGTAGGCAATAAAGTGGATATAGCTAAAGGTCGTGAGGTATCCACTGCTGAGGCCAAGGATTATGCCAAGAGACACGACTTGATATGTAAGGAAACCTCTGCAGTGACGAAATGTAACGTGGCAGCGTGTTTTGATGAGCTTAGTAAGTTATAGTAACTAAATTTTGTTTACCATAAATACTATAAATAATAATATTTATTTTAGTAAAAGCTAGCCTCGCGGAGAATTAATGGCATAACAGAAAGTTAATGGAAATATATAAATGACAAGATGTACAAGAGCATTCCAATAGTTGTCTTGGTCTGTTAAATATATTAAAATACTTTTGTAAGAAAACAATTTTTTAGTTTAGTTTTAGTTTTTTAATTTTTTAAATGAATAAAACAGTTCATAAAGAAATATTCAAACCCATTTTTCCGTTTCATTGTCCCCATGTTAGAAATCTCAAAAGATTTACGTATCTAAAAGTATTTCAAATAAAACAATATCAATGCTTTAAGTTTATTAACTTTTCTATTTTCCATTTGTTTTTATTTTTTTTATTTAAAATTATAACTGATTAAGTGTTGTCTCTCGAAATAAACACATACTTAACTTACTGTCTTGGGTTACAATTCCGATTCTTTTCTTTTTGTTTTGTTTCTCGTATTGTATAAGTATTTTGTATATATATTTTTTATTTGTTTGTTTCTTTCTCGCTACTTGGTTTTCCTTGGTTTATAAGAATAATTATATTGTTGTTATGACTAGCATCGATTTTTCGTATGCCTCTTGATCTGTTATCAGAAGAATAGGCGCCTTCGATTTTGAGTTACATTATAGTTATTCAAGATAAATCATAGGAGAGTTATACGCTAACTTACTACAAGGCAACTAAATGGCTTCAATTAGGAGAGACAGAGAGCTTTATGCTTTTATATATAACGTACACACAGACATAACAGGGAAACAATATTCACTTAACTAAATTCGCTTTTCAAAATTGAATAAATTAATATATGGCAGAAACTCGTTGAGGGCAGTTCTCGTAGATGTGAAAATTGTTGGAAATAAGTCAAGTTTTTAATTTATTATTTAACCGAAATGCTAACGTTTGCATAACAAAAAACAATATACATATAAATAAGTTAATTTCCTTCGGGTCTTTATCCTTTATCGTTATTCCGCTTCTGAAATATCACTTACGTAAGAGAAGTTTTTATATCTGGTATCTGTATCTGGTATCGGTATTTTCTAGTTTAAGATCCTAAGCTACAATTTTGTCTTTCTTTGTTTTTTCTTTGATAAACCAGTAAATCTTTTTTCCATGTCTTTATTTTGTATTTTTTGTTAAGTCTAAACATTGTCTTTTTTGTGTTTTTTTATTTCTATAAAATTTACAAAATTACGTTCCCATTTCTTGTCGTTTGTCGATAGCTTTGCCCAAAAACTTTCTGTCTGTGTATATATTGATTCCGGGTAAGGGGGTTCCCCATCTGCTTTTCTCTATATAAACTCGCTTATCACTTAGTAGCTTACAAGTAGTTATCTCCTCTATATATCTCCTTCGTCAGTTTGCCGCTCAAGAAATCCAGACAAGATCTTGAAAGTTCACAATAATCCTCCGATTTATCCATGTTTTGATTTCGCTTCCCTCGTTTCCTATACAATTAGCGGCTCGTCACCGTGCAGATCACAGGATCCGATATTTTCCCCCTGGTACGCCGAGAAATCGCTGATAATCGCTTTCGGCTCGGCGCCAAATTGGATGTCCTGCAGACAGCCCTTGAAGGGCTCGAAGAAGCGGCCTTGCGTCCGTCTGCTCACTGAGTCCAAGTTGGGGAATCCACCTGTTTTTGCAAATAACATAAAAATATGTGCTCTTATCAGTTTAAGTTATGATTTGAATTTTGGCCAGTGTTGGCTAACGAGTAAAGAGTGTAGCTAACAGCAGCAGCTAAGAGCGAAACTGTGAACAGGTGGTAAAGGCTGTTACAGCTTTTGTTAGCATATTATTGCAATGTTATGTAGATATGTAAAAAAAAATTTCCTATTAAATAAAATAATAAATATTGAAACATAATATTGGAACAGTATTTCTTGCCATGTATTCGCATAAAACTGTTTAGTTTTCCTTATTAATTTCTTTTTGAATTACGTTTATTACTATTACATTATAGCATTAATCCATTATAAGTTGTATACAAATTTTAGTTATGACTGATCTTTTTTATTATTTTACTTAATTTCATTTTAAAATTTAAATTAAAATTTTTCTAAGCCTCTGTTAGATAACAGTCGAAATGTTGCGCTTAAAAGCCCTCTGTTACAGCTGATCTTGCTTAACAGAACAGCTGTTTTGGAGCCCCCGAGTTGGCAGCTCGGTTTTACTCTATTGTCTTGCTCTCTCTCTCCCACTTTCAGTGTTTTTTCATCTCGCGACTTTTCAAGAAGCAAAAATCGAATTAGTGTCGGTTTTTAAGTGATTTGATGGATTTATTAATGTTTTTGTGTGCGAACTAAGTGTGAAACTGTGTTAGTTACTGCGCTGATCAAAGGGATTACCAAATACAACTGATTTCAACAGCGGTAAGTCTGTGTTTTCACTTTGTTTCAAGTAAATGTACAGCAAATTCTAGTTCTTATTAGTTTTGACGACTTTTGTTTATGTTTTTGGTTGTTTAAAAAGGCTTGATTGAAGTAAATCTTTGAGCTTGTGTGTTTTTGACCTTAGGGAACTTTATAATTTATTAATCAATAGGTTTTCCTATATTAGGAAAAGGTATTCATGATAATTTAAATTTCTAAACTCGGGTTAGGGATCAATGTATTAAAAACTATATAATATATAGTTTATGAAACTCACCCAAGTAGAACACATCCTCGTAGCTAATTGTTGGCTCTTTGCTCGAACTCTTGCGCCTGCCCGCCAATATTGATCTGGTCGTTGTAGACGATGATGGGCTTGGGTTTCTGCCATTTTCCGGCAATCGTTCCGTAAAGATCACCTCCCCGTCCAGCTGAAGCTCTAGCCGTGTTCGATCCAACAGGACACTGGTCCAGTGCCAGGCGCCATCAGCAATGAAACCGCTGGCCGGGGCCTTAACGGTGTCATTGGAGCTTCCCAGCAATTACTGGCCAACTTCAGGTGACCCGCCTCCAGGCCCAGGCCCAGGAACTTGCTACGCTCGTGCTCGCTCCACAGGAGCAGGCCGTCCGGCTCAATGGTGGAGAAGTTCAGCGTGACTTGGATGGCTTCACGGGGGCGGACATAGAGCGAGGGGCCGCGCCGCTTGTCTTTCATCGGAATCCGAGGCGGCGGCAAGATCAGGTAACTGTTGCCACGGAAGCTTGGCGTCGTTGGCTTGCTCATGGCTGGAAAAAATATATAGAAAAAATGGTATTAGACAACAGAAAAGAGATCAGAAATACAAAAATAAATACATAATAGAGAGGGGCTGAGGTGGTACACACCACAGCCGGCGTGTTGCATTAAACATATTGCATGCGATCCATAATTAAATTACAGCATCTCAGCTTGCCACTTGTGGCAGAGAAGCTGCATTGTTCGTCATCGTCTTTTGTTTCGCTTTATGAGTCCTCCTCATCTTTGGGCCCTGATCTCATTTATTTTGTAGGCCTAACATCATTCTACACTTGTGTTTCTTTCTAAAAAACAAAGTCTGCAAAGCAGTCTTTTAATGACTGAGAAAATATATATTGTGTAATACACAAATACATTTTCTTATTTAAAAAGTTAGTTAAAGTCGAAATATATTGAAATGCATACAGAAAAAGTTAGAAAAATATAGTTAAAGTAAAAAATCTTATAGATATCTTTAATAGTAACTCAAAAAGTAACATTTAGCATGATTTTATACTAGAGTTAATATAGAAAATTAAGTAATTCCTTATTTAATTAAACTTTTAAAGTTATTAATAACAAATGACATAGATTACATGCCAATTTTAAAAGCATAAGTCAAATTATTTTATTTTTTCTTATACTTATTATATTAATCTTTTTTTTCACTGTGTAAAATATTCTTTCACTTTTCTCTGTATCTATCAGTTGAAGTTATTTTTCAACTTCAACTTTAATTTCATCTTCACTTGCTTTCCGGTTTTTTTTATTAGTTATTTTTAATGATTATGATTCATCTGGAGAACCTGAACCTGAAGCCAAGATTAATATTTATTATGATGTGGTTATTAATATTCTCTACACTTCCTCTCTAGCTCTCTGGTAAATGCACTTCATCTCATCTTTCAACCATCTTCTATCTTTTTTACCTTTACTTGGGGAATGTTTCATTTTCCCTTGATTATATCTTCTAAGATTTTCCTCTTATATTTTCTCCGTTCCACCTGCTGGCATTTTCCTCAATTTCAATTTCAAATATCAACTTTATTGGTGGAGAGTGTTGTGTGTGAGTTTTTCAAGTGGCATGTTAATTCACAAATTTGCTAATAAGTGAAAGGCCGAAAGTCGAATCTTCACGGCAAACATTCGATAGATAAAAAAAGTCAATAAAAAAGCATCTGCCGATTTCATATGATGAAAAAAGCTTGTTTTTTTGCAGTTGCTTGATTGATGTTTTGTTTAGTGTCATTATTGATTTGAATAATGTTGCATTTGCGAAAAGAGGAGGTGGTTCATAAAGCTGTATAATTATTAAATGGCTAATTGAAATTGTTTAGAGAACTCGTATATAATTGCAGTTATTTAAAATTGAAAAAGGGAAAGGCACAGTTAAATATAATTAAATTGACAATAATTTATCTTAATTAAATTTTATGCAAAAGGTAATAACTGCTGGAAGGCTAAAACTGTATTAAATAAATCCATAAACGAAAAGTTCTGTTTTAATTTATGTAATGCCTAAATTATATAATATGCAAATTTACGAACAGAAAAAAAGGGAGCATTCACGGCGGATTTTAATTATTTGCCATATCCATTATAATACTGATTTATAGTGGTTTTTTGTGGCCATATTATGGTTTTTTGTTTCGTATCACAGACCGCTAATTTCTGTGTTTTAGTTGTAGTTTTATTTATTTATTTTTCGGGCAACTTCCTGACCCCGCTGTGCACTGAACCATCCGCCTGGAGTCCAGCTGCTGCTTTTAATGCTTATTTTCTGTTGCTGTCCATCTATCTCTAATTATAATAATAATGTTGTTCTACTCGGCAACGCCGGCGAAACTTGTTTTTTGCAAAAACGCAACTCGAAAAGAGATCACACAAAAAAAATATATATATAATAAAATGATTTTGGCTTCTGTTTTGACCAAAAACCAACTTTTACTCGTGACACATTTCAGCGATTTGAACTTGAGGATTTATGAAACTTGTTTTTATTTCTAAGCTTTAATATGATTTATCACGGTTATTGGACTGTAACTAAATCACTTTTTATATTCTCCGAAAACCCATGAATCATCATTGCTTTTAGGTAACGTTCATTGACCTTTTAATAATAATTATTTTGGGGCAAGTTACTCACCAATCTCACAGTAGAAGCCACCCCAGCCATTGGGACACGAGCAGCGTCCACTGCGCAGACATCTTCCATTATTTTTACAGGGTATTAACTTGCAGGTCTCCGAATATTCACAGCGATCGCCTTTGGCATACTCCGGGCAAATGCAATGCGGTTGTAGCTTCTCGTCAGCCAACAGTGTCCTCCAGACTCACAGGAGTCACCGCCACAGGCTGTGCCATCACAGTCTCGTATGTTACGCGATTCTAGAGATATATATTAGGATATATATGCAGACTTGCAAAAGATCTCTCTTTAATTAAGAAATACTCACCCACAATGTTGGTTTCGTTAGCACAATTCGAGTTCCACTCACCACCAAGCCCGGACACAGCCCCTAAATGGAATGGGGAATCCAGAGATGGCATAATGCGGCAACTTGGACAAATCCTTTAGTCCTCCTATATAGAGCAATGAGTCCGGTTCTACCAGGACCTCTGCTGAGGGAGCCAAAGCTGATGAAGCGCTGCCCTCCACCCAAAGGGTCAACCAGCGACCTCGCTGTGCCATCTTGATCTTGTGCCACTCGCCAATGGCCAACATTCGGACACTACGCACCACAGTGACATGATTGCTGGGTCCCGAAATACGGAACTCCACCACGCCGCCCTGCAGGGAGAGCGATACAAATCCAATCTTTTTGTCCTGATTATTGTTCAGGGTGCCAAAGTACAAGAGTAATCCTCGTTCCGACAACGGACGTAATTGGAATTCAATGAAGAAGAACTGCACACGATGATGCTCCTCGAAGGTCTTTGAACCCATCAGGGGAACGGGCGAGAAACTGCGTTGCTTCTCCACCTCATTGAGCAGCTTCATCACAAAGTGACTGCTGGGTGTGGTTATGGGTTTCGGTGGCATTAGCTTCTTGGTGAAATTCCTATAACTGACCATTTGGGAACGTTTTGCACCCATTTTATCGCCGCCATCGTAGAGATAGGGCCAGCGAACCGCCAGATATGAACGTCTTCCAGTGAGGGATACATCACTCAAGGAACGTATTTCTAAGATAAAGATAGAAAAGTTTAAATATATTTTCTTATTATGGTAATTATGGCATTAAGAAGCTTACCCTCCTCGCAGTTTTTGCCTGTACGTCCCACAGGACAATCGCATTCATAGCCATTGACCAGAGGCACGCAGGTGGAGTCCTCGTAGCACTTGTTGTTAAAGGAGTCACAGGGATTTGTGGGCTGGGCACACAGTGGTCCATACCAGCCCTCCTGGCAGATGCATCTGCATGGGAAAATTAGATTAGGTTTTCCCTTAAATCAAATATTTAAAGTATACTCACGTAAAGGTAGCTCCGTGCTGCAAGCAGGCGCCATCATGCTGACAGGCATGCCTATGGCATTCCCTGGTTCCACACTGACCCACACCACGTCCTCTGACCCCTCGTGTCTCCTGCAGGGGCACCGTCACCTGACCCGCCTTCAGTTGGACATCATAAATGCATCCCTGGAAACCCGAATGCAGCGGCAGATCATGAGGCAACGTATTAAAGTTGGCTATTCATGTCCACCCAAATACAATATCGGCAGACATCCATACGGCTAACACTCCCCGGAGATCTGCCAGTTATATTGAATTTCCATCCACCGATAGCCAAGCCTGACGACCAATTCGACCCACTTTAATCTCATAGGGAACCCGGGGAGCATCCAGCCGGAAATCAATGGGTTTCTGGGTGAAAATGCGACGAGGTCCTGCTCCCAGATTCCAAGTGAGCATAATGTATCCCTGGATGAAGCTCACTGCAAGGTGATCGCTCTTCTCGTCATGATAACCCGACTGTCCCAGGAAGGCGAGCAGTGAGATCTGTGACATGGTCTGTGGCAGGATCTTAAAGCTCAGTTCTATGGAGTACTCAGGGGAATGGGCACAGTGTAGGCCACGAACGAAGAGAGGCCATTAACGCTGCCGGAGAAGGAGGCAAAGCCACTTCGAGATCTATTTAGGAAGGAGACAATTTAATGTTAAGTTTTATGTATACTTCTTTGAGTACTTACTATGCTCGCAGTAGTGACCATGTTTGCCCAGCGGACATAGACATAGATATCCGCTTCCTGGGAACTGCACACAGGTTCCACCGTACTGACAGGGATTATCCTCGCAAACGGATATCTCGCAGGTGGGTCCCATATACCTGTGGGACACTTGCATTTCCATTTCTCCGCCTTCTCACCATTCTCATCCAGCTCATTGGATTCGATCTTGATGCAGGCAGCGCCATTGCGACAGGGACTGGACAGGCAGGCCAAAGAGCCGCATTCCGTGATGCCAAAGCCATCCAGGGCATCGCTACACAGGAAAATATAGAACATTTTCAAATTTTACAATTAGAAATTGATAAAGGTACTAAAATGTTATCAAGGGAACTTAATTAGTTATTCCATTATAAGAAATAACTGATAGACTTTTTGGTTTATTGATAAATCAGAAAGTTTATGAAACTCTATTGGCTTCAAAGTCATTTCAAAGAAAGTATCCTTATTTGTGTTAATGAATTTGTATATTTATTATTTTTACAACTTTAAGTACTTTTAATAATTTTCAATGTTCTATTTCCTCTGCAAAATGATTTAAGACCGCTTTGAGTTGGGTGTTGCAGCTAATTTCATGAGCTGCTCTAATTCGACATGTCAATACTATGTGTCCATTTTGCCGCCATTCTGGTGCGCCATTTGACAAACAGCCCTCGGCTGTCAGCGCTTTCGTCCTGGACGTGTTACCACTCCGTGTCCTGTGTCCTCGTCCTTTTTTCTGCTGCCCTCGCCCCTGGCCCATTTGGGCCATCTGTTTGTATTCGCGCTTTTATGAACGCTCCTAGCTGACGAACGGCTTCCGCATTCGCTGACTGGCTGTCCCCATCCTTTCAGCACCCAAAAACCCCACATCCTTTGAGATTTTTTTCATCAAGTTTTGCTGCATTTTCACTGGCAATGTGGTCGTTTTCAGTGCAAACTTGGTAGAGGCCATAATATATAAGCTTTTAGCATGGCCATTTTTTTATGGTTAAGAAGTTCTCTGATAAAGTTATTCGAAGAATGGTGCAAGTAAAGAAAGAGGCTTAATAGCTTTTTCTCTAGATTAATTAGTTTATAAGATAATTTCAGAAGATGTGTAGAATTTTATAAGAAATTTTAGGAATATATTTGTTTTTCAGCTAATAATTGGCCCTGTTTTGGTTTATTTCCCTTTTTGATTACTCTTACTTCCGCTTATTTTTACTGAACACCTTGTATCCATGTGGGTTTCATTTATTATATGGACCATTGGCTATATATCTGTGACCCGGGCCACCTTGCGGTTTTATCTTTGCACGTAAGCAGAGTTAATTTGTTCCTGCTCGAAAGATCTTTATGTTCGTTGGATATATAAACTGGAATTTACTGCAACTCCGTCAGGGCTTTCCACCACCACCTGCAACTTTGTGCGTCGGCATTTTGATGGTTAAGCTTTATTCCTACTTATTTGTACCGCCTACCCCACATGCCTTTGGGGCAACCGAAAAAATGTAAGGTGGCATTAACATTTAAGAGTCGCCCCACGGGTGGAGGCATCCGCTTCATGTGGCATCGGACAAAGGTAGTCGTAACTTTTTTGGGGAGCTGTTCATTAGCCAAGGTCCATGGCATTCAAGTGCCAGCCCAAAGGGGCACAAAGAGCACAGTTAAAGTGGCTTGAAAGCACTGATAAAAATTAATAATAACACCAAATAATCAGAAAAATAGGTGATCGAGTCAAGACTTGATTTGTAACAGTTTTTGTTACAATTCTACAATAAGTTACTTTTATCTTTATTTAACTTTGAGTATAGTCTTTTATGTAGTATTTTCCCTCAGTGTAGTCATTACTTAGTGTCCACTGTACTCACCCAAATATCTCGCGAGCCTGTCCATTGATCCGCAGCGTATGAAGGCAACCGGTGAATCCCGTGCCGCTCTGCGCCGGCGGCAGCTCGATAATCAGGCCAATCGGCGCCTGGGGCGCACCGCCCAGGTGCAGCCAGGTGTTCAGTATCGCCTCCGGGGTGTGGAGCCGCGGCGGCAGTAGCTTCAGCCAGGTGGGCTGATCCCCGGACATGGCCAGCGTGTCGTTCACCAACAACGAGGCGTTGCAGTGTGTGTAATTCCGGCTGAAGTCCAATCTGCAAAGAGGCATTCGAGGCATTCTTTTAGCTCTTTTCCTTTTTTTGATATTTTTTAATGCATCAAATATTCAATATGCCGCACTTTCTCTTTGGCGCCCAAACGACACTCCCTGCCTGCATTCCCGAGGCTTTTGAGTTTGTTGGGGCGACTTTTAAGGTGAAATTCCCAACATGCCGATGCGTGCAAATATTTATGACACCACAATTCACCGTTCTGCTCTGCAGGGTCTCCCTCATCTACCCAAAAAAGGGTCCTGCTGGCAGGACTACGTTATCCTGGCCTACCTTTTGCCTGTTGACCTTTCAACGTAGGCAACTTTATGAAAACCCCCCCAAAACCAGTGTTGACAGTGGCTTAATACTGATTGAAAAAGGGGGTGAAGGTTGACTTGATGTATGATGAAAATATATGTTATTTTTATATAAGAAGAAAGTAGGTTTGATCTAACTTTGTATTATATGATTTGCATTTTTTGATATTTAAATAATTTAAAATTAAATAGGTCCCAATTTCTAGGAAGTTAATTAGTGAGTTTATTCCAGAAACTAAATTGAAACATTATATTACATATTACCTAAAGGAATCTCTAAAAGTTATCTAATAAATTAAAACAAAATGTATGTATTTAATATATAATCAATTCTTCTGATTTATTTTTCGACTAGAAATCAAATATTTCTTAATGTCTACCCCCTATTTAATAAAAACCACTGTTCCTTTGGACATATCCTTTCCATTCGGGCCCAAAAATTGGCTATAATGTCAATCGGCTGTCAAATTTTCTGCTGAGCCCGGTCATACCAAAAATGGTATGGAATTTTTTTCTCTGCCTACCCTTTGATGTGATCGAGGTAAAAGCCTGAACGATTTCGAGTTGGCAGGAGAAAAAAAGAGGGAGTATGTTCACAGGGGGGCCACCAATTTTTATTGTCCCGCTTGGTCGAATGTCACCTGCCTTTATTTGAATGGTTTTTTGTTGTTTTTGATTTATTTGTTGTCAGATGAAAATGTTTTCCCCTCTTTTTTTTTGGTTTCTTTTCGGGTTTAAGTCAGTTTGGAGATGGACGAACTGGGATTCATATCTTCGCGTTTATTGCATTTGAATGTACATATATATATATATATATTTTAATACAAAAAGTCAGTGCAATAAATGCTGGCAGGAAGAGGGACCACATTTTATTGTTATTTTATGGAGGGGACAAAAAAAGCTATACAAATATTTGCACCATATGATGCTGGACAGATGAAAAAGTTTCCACTGATTGCATTTTGTTTTTACCACACATGTGTTTCGGTGTTTTCATTTCAAATAAAATAATAACATCCTGTTTGGGGTTTCTATTGAAGGGTTAAATATTTGCGATTACAAATTTCAAGTTCTGCTTGATTAAATCATTACAAATTTAGGTAATATTCCCAATTAAAGCCTGTAAATTGTGTTCTCCTTCTCTTATCCATAAAACCATTACCACTTTCCCCAAATTTATAGTTCCATTAGCGTACCGAAAATCCAAAGAACCAAACTTGCTCTCAATACTATTTAAAGTTCAATTAGCTGCACTTGACTGAACGTGAAATTAAATTAGCATTGTTTACATTATTTCCTTGCGGCTTGAGGGTAAGTTCAAAATCCTTGAATATAATTTATTGACACGGTCAATTGAATGCTTTTGAAATATTCTTTAGTTACGGAAGCTGCCAAGGAAAGCAAACTCCGTACAAATTAATGAACTTAATCCGTGAATTGTATTACGCAAATTTGCAATAATTAAAAGGAAATTTTCCTCGGTGAAAGGGCCGGGAAAGAAATGCGGTTGCAATTAGGCTTGACTAACGGTAATTGTTATTGCTTTCTAATTACACTAATTGTGCGCAACACCAGTTCGATGAAGGTCCTTAAGTAAAATGTCAATTGTGCTGGGCATTAGCCTCATTAGAGAGTGGGTCGCCTTTTCCCATTTTTTTTTGTGTTGTGTTGTGTTCCTGGGAGGATTTACCTCCCAAAAAAGGGGGTGGTGTGTGGCAACTATAGTTCATCGGGGGTCTCGTCGTCATCATCATCATCATCATCGCCTTTGTCGTCCTCGTACCAATCATTATAGTCACCGTCAGGATGATGATGATGACCATCGAGTGGCCCCTGGGCGAAAAAGTCCTTTTGCTCCCAGTGCTCGGGCGATTAAGCACGCAAGGCAAATAAAAATAGGCAACGAACATAAATTTGTTGCTCGTAAATCCACTTGCCAGACCAAAACAACACACCAACACAAAGCCAAGGCAGAAAAATAATATAATATATATACACAGAGAATAAATATGAGCCAGAATCTTAAGTGTTTCTATGAGAACCAAAGTCTTGTTATAAAAAGGGTCACTGAAATATGTTAATTTTTAATGAAATATCTATGTAAGCCTGATTTGAAAATATGTTTAAAATAAGTTTAAAAATATTTACAAAATTCTGCGGAAATATATACTTTATCTGATATTATAAAATATTTGTAGACACCTCCGAAATTTTTAAAATATGGATTTTATAAAATATAGAGGTTTAACTAATATATACGTTGAAGTGGATATTGAATATTTTCTCAATGCATTCGAAATGCAAAAATGCTAAAAAGTATGCTATAATAATTTTTGTATCTTGCTCTTCCTTGAATAACATAATTTCCTAGTTATGCACATATTTTGAAGATTTTTAGAACCTTTAAATAATTTTTACATGAATAAAAAATTTATAAAAATAAGTTATATATAACAAACTGAATATATTTTTCTCTGTGCGTGTATATATAGAAAGCAAGAGCCCTTAACATCGGACATTGGATCGCCCCGAGCTGGGACCAAGTGCTAAAAAGTAAATTTGTGGTCGATTCGATAGTCGTAAAATGTGAGAGTCCCCACTTCCTCGTCCTCCTTCGTCTGGTCTTGTTCCCACTTTTGGTCATTGTTCTCCCTTTTGGTAAATTATTTATATGGGCAACGTTCTCGCTCACTCTTTTGTCCCACTTTTTGATAAATATCCATTCCTTAATGTTCTGTTTATGCCAACGGTTCGTCTATGTCCTTGATTCCCCGGGGAATATTCCAGTGCCCAGATTTTACGTTCGTCCTTAGCCCAGTTTTTATATATTTGACTAAAACGATTATTTGGTCATTTTCCATATGCGTTTAACCCATTGGCAATTTCATATAATTGTTTGCAGCTGAATTGTAAACAAGCAATTCTGACAATTGAGTGTTTTTGTTGATTGTGGTGGTGCTTTGATTTGCTGACAAATTGTTGATGACTCTAAGTGATGGTCATTTGAATATTGAAAGGACAATTGAAAAGTCTATTGATTCAACAGGTTTCAAAAATTAGTATTTGTTTGGGTGACACAGAATATTTGAAAAAGGGTAGATATGTGGTTTATTGACGTTTTAACAATACGTTTTGTTAAATACAAAACTGAATATAGGAAACTTAAAGAATATAACAACATCATCTAGACTAAGAAACAACTAATATTTTAATGGTAATTGAGATTTATTTATAGAAAATTTAGCTTAATCAATTTAATAACCATTTTCAACATGAAAATAATCCTTTCATAGAGTTTTTCCTCACGATATATATACATCTCTACTTTCTAATTATGTCCATTACATTAGCTTCAAAATGTATCTATATTTTTCCGCTTCTTAATCCTTTCCTTTCCCGCTTTCCTAATTTAAGCAAAAACCCATTCAAACTTTATTTTCGCATTTCAAATGTAATGCGCTGCGATAGTAAAAATATTTGAATAGCTTTTTAGTTTAGTTTTCTCTCTATTTTTGTTTTTGTTCCGGCAGAGTTGGCTTTGGCCAGGAAATGTTAGTTAAACGATTAATTACGCACGAGTCCCGCATTACTTAATCCTCCTCCCCCTCTTGCAAAATCCTGGCCACACAGCAAATTAAATTTTCAACCAAGGAAAAAAAGAAGAGCCCACACAAAAAAAGAAAAAAAAAAAACGAAAAGAAAAATCTCCAACTAATTACGCATGGATGGCAAGTGGAAGCCCTGCAGGATTTAATGTTCGAGGAAATGGCCGCACGGAAATGGGGAAGTGGAAAGTCGGAGCTGGGGAGGGAGGAACCTAAAAAACTGCAATTTATTCAACACTTGAAGGCATTATAATTTGTGGCCTCTGCGGAAGGAGCTTCGAAGGCGAATTGCCAAGTTTAATGGGCAATGTCCTGGCGCAATCTCCCTGACACTGACCCATATGCTGACCTCCACCTTGTGCGCCGCGTGCTCAGTTTAAAAAGTTAATTAACATGCCGACAGTCGTCGTTGCCGCCCAACCTCAATCACCAGCAAGCTGGCGGCGTGACCCGCAGTTACATGCTAATGCACTGGCAGAAAAACGCACTTAAAAAACACATTTCAAATTTAGAATAATCCAAAGGAGTTTCAGTAATCCCTTGGCAAATTTTTCCCGTAATTTTTCGCTGTGCATGTTCACACATAATTGCATTTCGCGGTCGACTCCGACACTTTTCACTTACTCAGCGCGAATGGTAATTTCGTGACCCGTGTTGACCGGCGTTTCCAGTTCGCTCAGCAGCATCGTCTGCAGTCCGCAGGAGAACTGGAATTGCATCAATCCTTTTTGAAGGAACAGGGCCATGTAGTGGCCACCCTTGGTTCCCTGGGCGGCTGCCAGCATGATCAGGCCATTAGTGGCCCGCGTCCGCACCTTCAGTTGAATGTGCATTGGCAGGACGGCATCGAGGGACTCGTGCTGCCCAATGTCCTTGTAGATGCGATGCGACACGTACGAGTCGCCGGAGAAGGCGGCATTCCGGATGATAATGGGTAGCTCGCAGAGAGGACCCTGCCGGTCGAACCGACAAACGCACTACAAGAGAAAATTAGACAAGAATTAGAAAATTATAATAGAAAACAAATTAGTTTTCAGGTATATATCCTTTGAGATTAATTTACTTCACACCTCAAGAAAGCAAAGTACATAAAACTAGATTTTATTTATTTTAAAACCCATTTAAAACCTTTAAAAAATCCCTTAAGCTGTGCTACTCAAAAGGTTATTATTACTTGCCCTGGCCATTCCTCTTACACTTTCAATACACACATTTTCCACTGGCTATAAAATAGTTACAGCTTCCAACTTTCCCCTAAAAACTTATCGGGAAGTCGTCGCACCGAAAAGCGGAACAAAACTCGAACAATTTTAATTTAATTTTTGCTCAACGCCAATCCCCCCAACCATTGGTCCTTTCGAAAGACGACTTCTGGTCGCCTTTCAATGAGAAAAGCACGTTTCAGTAAAGTAAAGTAAAAAAAAAAAAAAATGCCAATAAATTGCAAAGTAATATGAATTAACTTTTTGGCTCTCCTCGCCCCATCGTCTTCCATTGTCCCGGTTTTAATAATTTATGCCGTACCAAGGGACACTTACAGTGCAGTTGGGGGAAAAACTGCAACAGGCAAGGCAACAGGGAAAAGCAACAAGGACACGCACTATAAAACTTTTGTTGTAATTTTTCGCAGCACCTCCGCACAAATTGAGCAAATGAAGTGCAAGAAAATTGGGAAAATAAGGTGAAGCCACGGAACAGTCACGTGGGGTCCAGTGCCTTTGGGTTTTCGATGGGGGGAAACTGGTAAAATGACAACCTTTTAATGGGAAGTTGTTCATATGTTAAGGAGTACCCAAGGAAGGGTTTCTTACACGTTATAATTCAGTGGGTTTAAATTTAAATGGTTTAATTTAAGTTTAAGGAAAGGAAGCGCTTTTGGGTAAGTTCTTAAGATATGTGCTTGAATTTTAAAAGAACTGAATTGTTCTTAAATCGAACAATTTCATTTCATAGCATTGTTAGAATTCTCTCCTTAAATCTTTGCATATTTTATAAGACATTGGGTTAATTGTAGCATAAATCTCTCAATCTGTAAAGACATTATTCAGGCTTTTATAGCTGCCGACAATTTCTGTAAATGAAAACCCCTACTGAAGAGGCCCCGCTGTTTGGCGGATTTTCCCGACCAGTGTTAAAGGCTTGAGCTCATAATGGCTCAGACCGCCATCCTTGTGTATTTTTTTTTGCCCCCTTAGCCAACAAATTTCCGCTGTTCCGGTTTTTTATTTCCAGCAAAAGAAAAATACATTAAAAACGGCGCCTGCTGTGTTGATGAGATGTTGTTTCATATCAGCAGCCAGTGTATCCGTTTTCCACATGTACCCTTTTACAGGTCACAGAGAAAAAAAAGGAAATCACTTTTCCATACCACACTCAATTTTTCTGCTGACCTTGAAAAAAGGAAAATATATATATCTACCCGTAAGCATAAAAAACTTTTCCAGCAGCATAACAATTATTTGAAGTACGCGCTGGAAGCTGATTCGCGCACTTTGTTTTTGTTTGGCCAACTTCGCTTTAGTACCGCTCACTTGTTAGACAAATGATGCTGGGGAAAAGCGCTGGAAAAACTGATGAGTGGGTGTGGATGGGGAGAATTTAGTTTTCGCCTCAAACCCCGGCACTTGTGCGCTCTGTGTTTGCTCTGCCTTTTTGTTTGGCTCTACTCGCATGTGCCCTGCGAACACAGGAAACATTTTAATTAAAGCTTTTGACCTTGCGGCATTTTGGCAGGCGCATAATGAATGTTGGCCAAAACCGAATAAGAACAAAAAAATTAAATATAACAGAAATGAGTCAAGGAAAAACATGTGGCAGATTTTAGATTTAAATATGTGGGCGAGCCCAAAAGCGGAAATGAGTCTGTTTCGTTGAAAGCCAAGTATGAATATATTCTGTGATTATTTTTAAAGTTCTTACATGTTGCTCCTGTCAACCTTGATTACTTTCTAGGATTTCAGCTAATCCCTGGCATTTTCACATCCTTTTTGCCTTTCATTGCATTGGCCAGATGGAAATTAATTGCAACACGCTCTTGCTAATGTCAACAGGCAAATGTCGGGGAATAACCTGAATGACAGAAGTGCACTCCTCCCTCCTCCTCATGGAGAATGCGGAAAGAGTGGTGAAAATTGTAGGAAAATGGATATGAAAACAGAGGTTGCTGCTGTTGCTGCTGCGGAGGACGCATTAAGTCGGGGAGACATGTGGCGGTGATGGAGGAGCCTAAAAGGGCTCAACAAAGTTTTCATTAGTGGCATTGGCGGTGGGAAAGCAACGTAATGCAGACAGTAGACACACACACACACAAAGAGAAAATGGAAAATGGGGAGAGCGCGGGAATGGTGGGTTTTCGGAGCCAGAGAAGCCAGGCAAACATTTTCCAAAACCAAAAACTCGGCGTGGGGTAGCACTTGAAATGTGCTTAATGCCACTTTACGAGTGACTTTCGCCGCGTGCGAGTGCCACTTTGCCTGCACTTCTTGCCACCCAAAGTCATCCCAGCCATCCCCTCTCACCCACAATTTCCCACCCACCCACAATTTTCCATCCTGCCCCTTTGCCCCCGCATTTCGCACTCTTTCGTAACCAATATGACAGCTGACATATGTAAGTGTATGTCTGTCGCACTGCCAGTCTGTCCTTTTTTTTGTCTCTTTATACAAATGCAAAAGTGAGAAATGGAAAGAGATGGAAAACCAACAAACACTGAGCGAAATTTAAAGCTTAAAAATGTGACAAATAAGAATATTAAGTCAAAGGGACCTAAATATACATATATCAAGTGTATCATATCAGATTCACGGTCAATTCTGGCATCTCTAAAAACTATTACACCCGGTACTCGTACGGAAATTCGCACGCTCTTATAAATAGTTTTCTATATTTAAAAAATAAAAGAAAAGAAAACTTTTCTAGAATTAAGAAAAAGTTCCCACAAATTAAAATCAAAGCAAGCTGCCATATATACTATTTTTTAGGGCTAATTTTTCCTTATTTTCCTCATATTAGAGGCACTTGTCTTACTGGTTATTTTTTCGATCGTGTGCTCTTATAATCTTATAATTCCCAACTGGTTCTAACTTCCCTAGAATGAAGTGACAAATGCCGGCGAACTCTTAGATGTGTTTATTACAAAAGTTGCAAGTCATAGTTACAAAAGTTGTCATAGTTACTTATTTACATAGTGTAGTGACTTACTGTTCATAGTTACTTATCACAAAATTAACTAAATGTCATTCTTAATTCACTAAGAATTACCCTTCAATTTGGAAAGCAAAATTGTCTTCTCTTAATTATAAAACTATGAAAACTCTTTTTATTTATACTACAAATTCAACTTAAATTTTAGAAATATAAATTAAGTATTTAAATCAAGGTTTTTCAGTGCACAAAATCAGAAAATTAACAAAAGCCTTGAGTGTGTGCTTGCTTCTTTTGGAGTGTTTGTGCAGTTAGTTAAATTACTTGGCAACAATAAAGTGGCATTCACTCTATGAAATAATATCCTCTCGTTTTGCGCTTTTCATCTCTAACATGGGGTTTTTCCCCATTATTTGCTTTAGTTTCCTTTTCCTGGGTTGCATAGAGGAGTCCTGTCACCTTCTGTCTGTGTGTGTGTGTGTAACAATAACAAATTCATCCTGCGGTGTTGTGTCACTCAGTGAAGCGCTAAATTTATTATGAAAATTTAATTTTTTTCTTGTTAACATGGTGGCCACATGCGCTGGTTTTCCCACCCTCCCGTATCTCTGCCTGTTTTTCTTCATTTTCCTTATTTTCCACGTTTTTGTGGAGGTGTGTGTGTGTAGGTGTGAGTGTAAGTGCCTGTGATTCATAGGTACACTTTGGAGATCTACGTGGGCTGCAGCAAAACTTTATAAATAAATTGCCAGACCCGGCTTTGTTAACTCATTAACTGGGTCTGACGCATAAATTAGATGCATTAGTGTGGCTCGGTGATGTTCGAGTGTGTCTGGAGTGCCTGGAGTGTTGGCTAAAAGTTTGTGAACTGTCCTAAAAGGTAATAGAAATAACTGAATGGAAATATATAAACTTGGAATCAAGACGGACATGTATGTAGAGCCACAGAAAATAATATATATGTGGCGGCGTAAATCAGTTTCCAGTTTTGGTTAAAGAATTTCTTTAATCACTCTCCTTTCTTGTATTAAAAGAAGAACAATGAACAATTTATTATTTTGTTATAATCTACAAATTCTTTTTAATTGCTTAACAACTATTGTCATTTTGTTATAAAAACACATTTATATTTCCTTAATTGTTCTCACAATTAACCAGCATTGTTTTGCCCTATAATTTAAAATAATAAACATCAATTACATATTCTCCTGGCGGTGGTTTCAAATTATCCCTGCTGTGGTTCCGCATGTCCACAATTTTCATATATTTATTCCTGATCCTTTGAATGGACGGTTATAAATTGGCCAAAACGTTGTCAGCTCGTATCGGTGTCACGTTTCGGTCGTAAAAAACGGGAATTGCATGTGGTGCTGCTAATTTGGCTAACGGTGGCCCCTTTGCTGACATATGTCAGGCCATGAATATATACGTATATATATACATATATAGTGTTTGTGGTCATCTAGATATTGCAACAACCTCTGACCTTCAAGCGAGAATGAATAATAAATGTGGCCTGAGGTCTGAAGGTGACAATTACAAGGACATTGGTGAAAATGTGTTAAGTATGTACAGGGTTAATCCATTTTTTTTATGAATTTATACATATTTTATAATTATTTCTGCGGCTAGCTGTGTTTAGGGTTAATAAACACCAGTAAATGGGTTATTTAGTAAAATCTCTTGGGATTCTAATGCAATTTATTGACTCTAATAATGCCTGGTAGTTCTGAGTGATAGGTTTCGATAGTCCTCCTTTAAACCTACTCTAATTAACTAAATCATTGGTTCACATGCTTCACATGCCAAAATCATGCCCGAAATAACAATAGCGGCGGCAATCTGTAGCCTCCACCATTTTCCATGTTCAGGAAATTAAAAAAAAATATAAACAGACTATCATGAAAATATTCGTGAACGATTTTCCGGTTCGCCAGTTATTGGTAGTGATTGGAAATTCGTTGCCAGGAAATGTTCATATGTAAACTAGTTACACTTAATGGACTACAGTTTGCTATTCAGGATCAAAAAATTCGATATTCTCTACCCAATCATCTGGTTTGGCCATATTTTCTCGGTTTTTGCTACTCTTATTTTTTGTGTTTGTGTTAAAATTACCACAAGTATTTTCATAAATAGTTGAATAGGCATACTTTGGCAGGCCTGCCATTGTTAGTGTAACTGGAGCAACTGGGGAAAGGTTTTGTGGTTTTGGTTGCCGTACATTTTCCCCCGGCCTTTAGCTATTTTCTGTCTTCGGTCTGAAATCCTATCTGAACGTGTGCTGCTTTTAATGGTTTTTGTTATTTCCAAAGTTCTCAACTATTCATTCATTTACAAGGGCCATAGGCATTTTCTAAGAACCAACTAGAGATGGAGATTCTGTCAAAATAAAATATAAAATGATAGTAGACAGCTGGCTTTTCTGTTTTTCAACGGAAACATAAACCTAAGAACATATTTCAGAGTGATTTCAAATTTCAATTAAATCTTTCTTGCTTGTCAAAGGCTTTTTCACAATGCCTAATGATTTAAGGTTTCTCTAAATTCCACTACTTAATGTTCTTTAATGTCCTGGAATAATTTACTCTCACATAGCAATAGTCCTGGTAACAATCTGCTTAGTAAATCTGCTTACAAGTCCTGCGCTTTGAGTCCCTTCTCTTGCCCACTCCAAACTATTTGATTATTTATGTAAGTGCCAGGTACATCTGTGCTCCTGTATCGGAGTCCTGCACCTGTGCAGCTGTGAGGTCCTGCCTCGTGTCAATTTGGAAATTTAGTTGGTTGACAGTGAATTTGCAGGAGTGCCAAAGCCTTCATTTGGTGTATATTCCATTAAGGACCTGGATTAAGGCCTGGTTTGCATACATATGTGTGGAAACTATAATTGCACTGAATTCGAATCTTACAACTAAAGCACTTGCAGTTTTAGGTAACTATTAACTAACTAACTATTAATTTGTATTCCTCATTTGCTTTATTACTTCATTTGTTTTTGATTTAATATTTCTGTGAGATTTATAGAGTACCATAGCAGTCGATAGCTCCTTTTCTCCTAGATTGCCTAGGCAATTGCAGCTTTAGCTGCTGGCATATTTAATGACTTATTAATGGTTGGAGGTGGAAATAAAATCGGAGCCCGGAGGCGCTCCAACTCCAACATGGCCAATTAGCAACTCAATGGGGTTGAAAATTGTGAAGTTGACTGCTCACACACACAGTTCCCTCTCTCTATTTCCCTTGGATTCCTAGTTTTTGGTTGTTTTGGCATCGAACAAACAACTCGATTTCCGTTAAGGTGCCAGGTGCTAGGGCCACCGTCTATCGATTGACCTACTGAGTCTGGAGTGCACTTGGCAAAAATAATCAAAATCAGTCCAAAAAGAAATCAATAAGTTAGTAAAGTTATGGTTTTTATACCTATATTTCAAGAATTTTGTATTAAATGGGAACTAGAAATATTTCATTGCTTAGTTTTGGGCACCGTTTGCATTTAATTTAAATATGAGATTTCTGTATTACCATTTAAATTCTAAAAATGTAAAAGCTGTAGTTTTTAGATCAATTAAAAGCCAAAGCTAGTTTGTATGTTCTATTAGGGGATTATAAAAGTTTAATTAAACGTTTACCACGCAAAATGTTAAATATATTCTTGACCAGCATCTTTATCGAAGTCGATCTAGAACCTTGTAAACTATTCCTCATTTTCTGGATCTCAAATCAACCAAAATTTTCAAAGTGTTCTTTAATTGATTACTCACCCGTGATCCTTCGGAAGTGGTAACGCAGGTTCCACCATTGTAGCAGCCCAGTTTGATGCAATCGACATCGCCTGCCTTCTCCTCGGGAACTCCACCCGCTCCCCGTCCGCCGCCGGTGGCTACCGTGTTAGTGCCCTCCACCTCTTCGCTGCTCTCCGTGACCGGAGTCTTCGTTTGGGCAGCGGAGGACGTTGTCGGCGCAGGTCCTTCGGGAGTGGTGTAAACATTTATGGGCATCGTTGGCGGCGGCAGAGTTTGTGCGGATTGTGTCGAGGGTGGTGTGGGTGGTATCGTGGGTGGTGGCAGTGTAGCCGGCGGCAGGGTTACGGGTGGCAAAGTGGGCAACACAGTTGGCGGAGGTGTAGGCGCCGCTGTGGGCGGTTCAGTGGCTTGAGGAAGAGTTGCCGCCGTGGCAGGCGTTTCGGGAGGAGCAAGTGTGACTGGTGGTGCAACCGGAGCAGCTGTTGCCGGTGGAGCAGGCGTGGCCAGTGGTATCAGTGGTACCACTGTAGTCTCTGGCGGAGCATAGGGTTCCGCGGTGGTTACTGGAGCAGGCTGCTGGACACCAATTAAGTCCTCTGTTTGAAGAGGTTGTCCCGTGGTTATATCCACTGGCATGGGTGTGGTAATGACCACCTCGTGCTCGTGATGATGATGATGGTGATGATGATGATGATGCTCATCTTCTCCTAGAGGATCCAGCGTTGTGCCCTCGTGATCATGATGATGATAATGGTGATGATGATGGGTCGTGGGCATTCCCGTGGTCGTAATTAGCGATGGAATTGTGGCATTCGCATCCAATATGGTCACCACTATGTGGGGTGTGTGCGGTGTGGTCAGTTCTATCGAAGATTCCTCTGCTGGTGACAAGGTAGTGACCTGCACAGGTGGCTGCACTGTGGTGAATCTCCCAGCACTGGTTCGATGCGTGGTGATCAGCACCTCCGCTGGATATTCCGTAAAGAAGGGAGCCGCTGTCGTAGGCACCTCTGTCCAGAGATGCTGCGTGGAAGCCGTGGTCTCCACCACATCCAAAGGTGGCTCCGGGGCAAATGTGGGTCTCGGCACTGGTATCACCCGCGGCGTAGTGGTTTCCTGCGGATAATAGGCCGTGGGCGTGGCATACTCCACGGAGATGGTGGTGGCAATTGTGGTTACCCTCTGCACAAAAGTGGGTGCCGGTGTGGTCACCACCGATTCCACTGATTCCGAGCTGGTGCTGCTGCTGCTGCTGGAGGATGAGGTGGCATAGTCCACAGCTATGGTAATGCTGGGTGGAGAAGTGGGTCCCACTGTGGTGATCTCTACGCTGCCGCTCTCGCTCTTACTGCCACTCACATCAAAGTGGGGCACGGTGGTGTACTCCTCGGAGGTCACCACTTCACCGGAACTTTCTGCTGAAGAGGTGGTTTTCGGTTTTCCCGGCAATGGTGGCAACGTGGTATATATGCTCGGTGATTCCTCTGAAGAGCTAGAGGATTTGCTAACACCCGGCGCAGCTGCTGTGGTTCCTGGTATGATCTCCTCCTCGGTTTCCGACTCTGATTCTGGAGCGGGTCTCGGTTCGGGTTCGGGTTCTGGTTCCGGTTCTGGTTGTGCAACTGTTGTATGCTCCATGGATATGCTGTGGCTCTCACTTTCTGGCGGCGCCAATGTCGGAGCTTTGATCTCCACGGAAACTGCCTCCTCCGAAGATGAGGCTCCAGCTGAGGTCACACCCTCTGGTACTGGTGCTGGTGCTGATGCAGCCGTGGTTACAACTGGTAACTCCTCTTCTTCAGCAGAAACCCGCGGGGGTACAGTGGTCTCTGGTGGTGTCACAGGCCTCACTGTGGGCGGTGCCACCGTGGATGTTGTGGTGGTTCTCCTCGTTGGCGGCGGTGTAGCCGGGGCCGTGTAATTACAGTCCAAAGACTCCTCACTCACCATCAAGCACTCGCAAAGCATTCCAGTGAGCAGTGGAGGACACGAACAGGAGAAGGTGTCCACTCCGTCGATACAAACACCGCCGTTCATGCAACGTGGCCCCAACTGACACTCATCGTACTGGAACTCACACTTCTCGCCGTGATAATCTGGGACACAGTAGCACGTGGGCACTCCCTCCTCCATGAGACAGAGGGCATTGTTTTGGCACGGATTGTCCGCACAAATGAGGATCTCCTCCTCGCAATTGATGCCCGTGTAGCCCATGGGACAGGCGCAGGCATAGGCCGCCAGTTTGTCAACACAAACGCCGCCGTTCTGACATGGCGATGAGGCGCATTCATTGATCTCCTCCTGGCAGATCCTGCCATGCCAGCCCGCAGGACAATCGCAGGTGAACTCCAGACCAGGACCCTCGATGCACTCGCCACCGTGCTGGCAACGAGCTCCAGTTCCTAATTAAAGAGAATTTCAGAATAAATATTCACTCGCTCTTAAAGCAATCTAATAACCTAAGATAACCACAGGTGCTGTTGGCACCTTGTACTAATTTCTATTTAAACCCTCTGCATATGTGCCATCGAGACTTCAACCTTTGACAACCTCCAAACCCTTTCACAACCGTCTGTGTCTGCTTGTCCATCATCCATCATCAACTTCACTCACACTCACCTGTGTCGCAGACGGCCACATCCTGCTCACAATGATCCCCCAGGTAGCCCGGCTGGCAGGTGCAGGTGTAGCCATTAGTCCTGTCCCGACAAAGTCCGCCATTCTGGCAGGGATTCGACATGCATTCGTCGACGTTCTGCTCGCAGCTGGATCCTGAAAAGAATCAAATTGAAAGGATGTGAATACAAATAGCCTCAGCTGTCTGGGGGGCATAATTGCAGAAATATTCTATATCTGACTGGCTACTAGGTCAAAAGTTCTGTTGCAGACTCTTTTATGCGAACGAAATTAATTTATTTATGTGCTTTATTGATTTGAGGTTTAATTATTTTTACCAGCAGCAATTAGCCTTTGACTTGCTTCGCCAAAAGAATAAATGTCATTTGGCTTTTGTGGTTTTAGTTTATGAATTTTAATTCGAATTTAATTTTTTATTTGAGGTTTTTTTTTATGGCAAATAAAGAAAATTTATGTTCAATAAATGAGTAAGTTTTTAATTAATAACTGAACATGAATTCCAATTCATTTTCCATTTTGTTTTCAATGAATTGCTGCTGTACAGCTCTTAAATAAGCTCTTTGACCAATTTTTTTTTTTCATTTAGAGATTCAGTTTCTTTATCAAAACTGTATTTCACTGCCTTTGAAGTGCACTCGAAGGTCCTTTCAATATTTTTGCCCATGTAATTTTTTCCTTTTTTCCCATTCATTTGAACCCTGTTTCAATCAATCTGTTTCTCTTTTTCATACATTCCCAAATAAAAATTAAAAAACAATTCTAAAAGTAAGTTGCAAAAAAAAACCCTTTCGATACAAGCGCATCAATAGCAATCAAAACAAACCCTACAAGTGCTGATTTGGTTGCAAGCAATATAAACAATTCCAAAGGATATTTACACGCACACATACAGCTATATTCCTCCCACACACACAAACACACATAGTCAGGATATACAGCACACATGCCCAAAAATTTGTTGCTGTCTTTCAAAGTCTGCGCCATAAAGTAGCAAGGAGAAAAGGGCGAAAAGTTTATACTAACTGATTTTAAACACTCTTTCTGCGTTAAAATAAGTATTTAAGAAATTTAATTAATATGAAAAATATATAATATAGTTATAGGAATTAAATGCAACTTGAACCTTGAATTGCCTAAAATAATTTCTTGCAGATAGTCACTCTAAGAGTTAACATCAAATTATGTATCTTATAAGAGGATTCTATATTTTATTATATATGTAATTTAAATATCTCTAATTACTTTTAATAATTTATACATTCCACTTCCTAAACTTAATCGTAATGCCTGATTTTTGATAGGGAAATCCTTTAGCCGCTCTTGAGTATTCAGTTTGACAGCGAACAATGGCAACAAATGCTTGGAAATACTTTTCAATTTTCTGCTCAACAACTTCTTGCAGCGACGTTGACTCGTTCTCAGTGTTTTGCCAAAAGGCAACTGTCAGACAATCTTCTCCTGGGGGGAATAAAACAGGAGAGCATCGCTCCCCCTCGTCCTTGTTTCGAGTCCCCATTGTGAATGGCATTCTTCTCTGTTTCCGGCTGAGCCAGTGCAAGTGCAACGCTGCGTATGAGTGATATTTTTGGTGGGGTTACCTCGCTGCACCCTCTTGCAAATTTATTGCCAGCGAAATATTTTGTATGGCTCAAGTTTGAGAATTTATTTGCCCGACATAGAAACGCCTTTCGAGTTTGGGCCTTTGTTTTCGTTTCCCGGCCACCTCTATATTTTCTTTTCTTTTTTTGGCAACAAGTTGCCTAGAAATATGCTTAAAGTTTTTTTCCGCCTTCACTTCACAAAAGTTTCCACACCGTCCTATCTTGTCTGGTGAAGTTCTCTTACTTTAAACAAAAAAAAAATTATTTGGAGAAAAAGAAAAGCACTTCAAAGTGTCGAAACAAAAGTGACAAAAAAGTCGGCGTGCAAATTCCTTTGCACTTTCGCAAATTAATGCCCAAAAGAACAAAGGAAGCGTGCAAGAAAAATCTTCTTAATTTAATGCAGAAAATTGCATTCAAGTGGACTGCAATTGAGGGGGCGTTCTTTCTGTTTTTTCTTTATATTTCTTTTTTGAGCCCAACACTTTATCACTGAGACTTATAAATTATACAAAAGACACACACACAATGACTGAAGCAAAGGGGAGAAAATAAGACTGCAGAGCGGTCATAAAAGATAAATGTGCGTGTCTGGTCCCTCTGTCTGGTTTATAATGCAACAATAATGTAACTCTATGCAAATGATGAGGAAGATCTCTGAAAAAGTCTAGGGTTCTGGGGTTCTAGGGGGGTAAAGTCAGCTCAGAACATATATTAAATTTGCATAAGCACTAAATCAACACGAAAAGGGGCAAACGAAAGCGAAGAAGGCAAAACCCGGCAATCCTTGCACAACACAGGACGTCAGTCGATGTCATTTGTTTGTCTTATGACTGTTAGTTATATGTGAGTCTGTATCTATATCTATATCTGCTGATATATGTGTGCTTTTGTGGATTTCAGCCCAGACTCAAGATACATATGTCCGTCTACCCAGGAAAATATATACTCGTATGTGCATTTCGATCAAAACTATGGGCTATCTATGTGTGTGTATTTCCGAGTCTGAATTTCCATGGCTTATAAGTGGTATATTCAGGTTGCCATCTCTGTGATTGCATTTGCATTTGTATTATCATTTGCAACCCAATTAAAATTAATTTATTAATGCCGCATACTTTGCTAGGCTGGAATGTGCTGTTGTGTTTGAGATGGACAATTAAAACATGTATTTCTATTGGAAATTGCATGCAAATTTAAATTAAACAACTTGAAGTTAAATTGGCAATTTTCATTTCACGTTTTATAATAAAAGTTGTGAATTTAATCATTGCTGGAATGCATTAAAGAGTACGAAAGGTTGTTAAAAAATACTTTTACTGTTTTTAATTTGTCTTCTTTTTTAAAAATAAATAACACTTTTGTAAGGGTTGCCTAAGATATTATTCTGAATTTATTATGGGATTCAAACCTAATTTACTTCTTCCATTTATTTAAATAATTTTTTAAAGTTATCGTTCAATTTAAAGAAGTCCTTAAGCCTTAACAAAATGTTTTACAAATAACTCTATAAATTTCCTTTATATTTTCTGTTCTATATTTTATACTGATAAATTGCATTGCTTTTTTGCAAGCCCCATATGCAATTATCAAACACTTTAATATCGTTTCTTGGATAAATTATTTGTTAGCTCTTAAGGCCACATATACAAAAAATGTATTTTAATTTATCGTTCGCCCATCTCAAGCTTCGATTGAGTAATGGATCTCCCAGCCAGGCCGCCGCACTTTCTCGTATTTCATTGCTGGAAAAGCAACAGCTTCAATTTCCCCATTCTGACCATAAAGTGCCATCAAGGCGTCGGCAGCGACTGTTGGACATTGCTGCACATTCCAATTTGTTTATGGCCATAGCCGCGGCAATAGCTTTTTGCTTTATGATTTCCATGGTTCGAGGACATCAAGGACATCAAGGACTTTAAAAATGAAACAAATATTTCAATTTTCTTTATGGGCGTTGTAAAATTAAATCCACGCATTTTATTTAATGGTTCTTTGTTTAAAGAAAATGCAAATCGAGGTTCTAAGGGGGTTTATATTTTATTTTAATAGACTTAAAGATTGTTTTTGCAAATGTTCGTAATTAATCTAAACTTAAATAAAAATGCAACTTTGAACTATAAACATTTAGGGGATAACCTAAAACAAGAATATCATTAGAAAACGTCAAGACACCATTAAGTTTTTAACTTTAACCCATCCTTAGTGGCATAAATCACTTTATTACGCCTACGACATGTTGCACCCGAGTCAAGTGAATGCCAAAGGAATCACTAAAATGGTCAACTTTTCCACTGACTTCTTGTTGTGCCTCCTCTCCTTTCGTTTTCTCTGTGCTCCACATGAAATGTCACATTACGCTCCAATTCATGCACAAATACAGGAAGTGGTCAAGCACACAGAAGGCACACACAGAGAGTGAATACTGAGCAGGAAAAGCCAACTCAACCTCACGCACAGTTCTTAACCCAAATTCGATGGAATAGCAACCCGTGTTTTTCCCCCCATATCGTCTGCGGGTTACCTTTCCTCAATGCATTTCACGTTGATTTCTGGTTTTCTTCTTGTTCATTGTTTTGGCTCCGTTTATGTGGTTTCGTTGGGGCCTCTGGATATTTTTCTTTCTCGGGGTATGCTTCTATGTGTGAAGTCGTTAAAGTGAAAATCGATTTTCATTTTATTTCACCGTGTGGGGAGTGGAAAGGGAAAATGGGGGGGGAGGGAAAGGGTGCCGGCCACTGGTCATTTCTGTGGGTACCAAAAATGCTTCACTCACTGCCGCAATCTACGAGGCATGTTTTATGAATGAATTTTTTTCGAATTGGACGCACAATTTTCCCTCGTTCTGTGTCTTTTTTGGTTCAGCCTTTTTTGTATTTTTTGTTTAATGGACATCGGGCTTTGGTTGTCCGGGGATTCTCTTCGTTTCCAATGGGGAATTTGAAAAAAAAAAGAATAAAAAACTCGAAACGAAATAAAAACGAATCCCACAATTCTGACAATTCTTCATGTCGATTGTTGGAATATTTGAAATGAAAAAGAAAGCGAAAATAAACCATTAATCAAATTTTAAGTGCTGCTAAAATATTGATAAAGAGTCGGCCTGGAAAATATTCGAAATTGATAAATGCAGTGCGTGTTTTTTTTTGGTGCATTAGTAATCAAAATGATTAGAAGTTTTAAGAGATTCCAAGCTATTGATATTTGTAAATAAACATATATTATCGCAGAAAAATATTAAGGATATATAATAGAAATAATTTAACTGGTTAATATATATGTCCAAGACTTAGTTTACTATTTTGTATTCAAAATATTTTGTTTACTTTTGCAGTAGTATTTTGATATTATTTTATAATATTATAGAATTACCTTCTTCAGAATTTTATGAATTGTAGATTTCTATTTAAAACTAAAGGTTTTCTACATAAATTTCTTGTATTTTATTTTTAGAGCACCAATCTAGTTTTGCTCCAGCTCAATATCCTCCATCAAGGGAATTTCTCAATAGTTATTTTTTGCACTTTTAGCACGACTTTTGTAGGTTTGCCATTTTTCTTTATTGTAAACTTTGCCTGTCATGATACTTCTGCTGGTTCTTCATAGTTTTCTTGTTATATATTTCATTTTTTGTTGCTTTTGTTATTATTTGCTGCTGGCAGCGAACTGTAAACATTTGTGCAACAAGGTACGAACATTTGTTTTGGCTTCAAGTCACAATAAACATGGCCATTTTTCCGCACTCCCCTTGCGTGTCCTGCAGGCGAACGTGGGTCCCCCTGTCGATGTAGAAATTGAAATTTGAATTTTATCTGCTCACATTTTGTACTTCTTATTTGCTTGTTACCTTCCCTGTCCCCAGGAGAGTGGGGCGAATGTGCATTCGCAATCTGGCATCGTTGCCAAAGGTGCATGAGTTGAAAATATTGCACATTTCGTTTGCATTTTATCCTCACATATTCAGATACTCTCCTCTCTACATGAGTGGGGGAAGGCGAGGCAGAGTTCTTTTATTCCGTTGCAGAAATCTTTGAATGAATGCATAAATGAGCGGCTGAGTGCACAGCAAACTGTATTCGTAGCAGGAGGCTGTCTATTCGGAATCTGGACTCGCTTTTAAATCATAATTACGAGCTTCAAGGACTCGAAACAACAAAAGGGAGGCTGGTTATTCGGTTATTCGGAGCTTTTCTCAATTAGCATTTGCATGGAGAATTTTAAATTTATAGTTTGGGGTGGAGAATGAAAATGATTTCTCTGGTATTTACTATTTTAAAAGATTTTAAGGCAACAGTTTTTGTTTCTTAAATTTCCTTATTCCCACAAGCTACTCCTTTCCTTTTTAATTTCCCCTCTCCTCGTGCCAAATGAGTTAATTTCCACTGAATTGAAATCCTCCTAATATATTGGCTTATTCATTTCAAATTCTTCAATTACCCAGCACTGAGAATAGCATTTAGCTTGTTAGGATTTGCGCCACGTCGTCCCTTCTGCAATTTGTATGCGAAACTAATCCCAGCCAGAGCAATCTATTATCATTGAATTGGGGTTTTTGGCTTGAATCTGGGGTGGTTTTGGACAGCTACGAATGCTTCGCCTCCATTGCCGTAAATCGCTGCCTGCGACCTGCGACAGTGAGCAATGAAATGCACTCAGGGTTCATCTCCTGCCACCGATGCCGATGCTGATTCTGATTCCGATTTCGATTGCAATGCCACTGGATTCGGTGACATGCCCTACCTCTCCTCAGCTTCGTCCTGCCAGCTTTCGAATGCTCTGGGGGAAACTAATCACGGGATCCATTCACTCAGCCAGACCCACAGTTGAAAACCCAAGGAATTCATGTCACCCGTTTTGCGGGAAATCTAACGTTTTCAATTCGCATATCTACACTTGGAGTAAAATTTATAGAAATTTTATAAGGGGAAAATATAAAGAGGAAGTCCTGAATGTTCATAAATATATAAATATATCTATTTTTCAGATCAATTTTAATAAATTATATCCTAATTTTCTTTTCAATTTAATGCATACATTTTCTAAAAGAATTTTATTAACTCAAAGGAATTTATTTAAAGTGTTTAAGGGCTTGCCCTGCACTTGAATGTCTTGTGGTGCGCATTGTTGCTCATTCAATTGCTTAGTTTCCATTTCTTTTTTCCCCAAGAGGAATCCTTGGAAGTGGCAAGGACAACGCAAAGCCAAGGGAACGCTAAGCGTAGCTCATTTTCAAATAGCTAAAATAGCAATGCCCTTTTACACCTCTACCACATGGATTAAAAGTTTAATTAATTGCATTTTGTACAACAAATTTTCGCATTTCGAATTTTCAGTTTTCTATTGAATTTTCACACTCCCTCGCCACATTTTCCAACGTTGCGTAAAATTAGAAAGTATTGTGTTTGGAAGTTCAATAGGTAAATTTATGATTGCGAAAATCGCATTTTGAGATTGGGGGAAATGAAAAAAAAGGGGAGGGAGGAAGGAGGTTGGAAAAATGTGTGTTTGATGTGTGGTTTATAAGGCGGGTTGGGCTCTAATTAATTAATGAACTTGTGGGACTTTGGTCGTTAGCAATGAATCGATAAATGTGTTACAGGAAGGCATGTTATTGAATGCTTTTCGGCTTGTTTTTTCTCTATCTTTTGACCTTAATCAGTTAATGTTGCCAAGGATACATGAAGGAGCTCTTTGGCAAATGTGAAAATAAATACAGGAAATTTATCTACAAACTTATGTTAATAATAGCCTAAAGACTTAACTTTGGTACTTGTTATTAAATTAGCTTTTCACCTTTTATATAACATAAATCACTACAAGTATACTTAATTTCTTTTATAAATATTCCGTTTATAAATATTTGAAATCAATTAAACCTTTTGGCGTTGAAAATCATTTAATCACATCTGTTATGTGTGCAAATAAAAATCTTAATAGCATTCGATTACACGGATAATCCCAGGACTTGTGACAAAGCAAACAAAAACACACCGCCCGCCGCCCGTGCGGTAGTCCTGCGGCAAGTTCATCAAACTCTGACATTATAAAATCAATAATGTCATGAATATTTTAAGCTTCTGTCGCAAAATAACAACGGAACCGAGCGACAAAACTAAATCCCAAAGGACAATTGATTAGCAAAATGCTATTTATAACCAAAGTATATACATACATATATTGCTTTGTGCTCTCCGCTGGGTAATTGAAATACAAAATTTATGCAAATCGCCGGGAGTCACGTGATTGAATACTAAATATGTGAGAAAAATTCAAAATACACAGAGAAAGTAACATTAAAGCCGCGAAGTCTGATTAAAAGAGAGTAGCACAATCAGTGGAGACTGCACTTCAAAAATATGAAGCCCTGAATCGATGAATGAGCAACCTGATGCTTGATTGCACCTATCTACCTGGGCATCGCGAATACGTGTGCAAATTGCCAGCGAGGATACGTGGAGCGGAGCTGAGCGGAGCGTACAGGTGAACGGTTTAACAGGTGCAAATTTATGCACACACACGCACTCGTTCGTTCGCTCAAAATCCGCTGATGAAGCAGTCCTAAAAAAGTCAGGCGCCCAGGAAAATTACGATAAAATATCAACTGTGTGTGTGTGTGTGTGGAAAAGCAGAATGGAAAGTGCTTGGGGAAGAATAAACGAAGCTGCACTGCTGCAATTGCAATGCTTTTCCATATTTATACTCTTAAAAAGTTGGTTTGCCAGGGTTGAGGTGGGATTTTATAGAGGGAAAACTCTTTAAATAATTATTAACATTATTTTTATTAAAAATAAATAAACATAGTTAGGGTATAAATAATTTTTTATTAGTAATTGTTAAGTATTTAAGGGATGGTACAGAAATCATAAGGGTTTTGGGGAGGTGAAAAATATGCCCCAAAAACTATGCTACAAATTTATAGCATCCGCATCGCCCTTTAGAATATAATGAATCTTTTTACTTCATATTGGAATCTAGCTGTACACATATTTAATTAAATTTAAAGATTAATCCTGATTAAAAGTTACGTTTTTTAGAAAAAATGAGGTCTCCCCTCCTAGATTATAATTTCTTATAAATTTTTACTTTCAGTTACAAGCTCTCAGTGAAGAAACCATTTCCGACCCTATAAATTATTCTTGATCAGCATTAACAGCTGAATCGATCTAGACATGTTTCAATGAAACAAAATTTTTAAATATTTTTTCATTTTTCTAAATTTTTTTTAAAGATTTAAAAATGTTAAAAATTAAAAATGCAGATCTAAAAACCTAGTAAAAACTAATACAGGACAGCCGAATTAAAATGAATGCTTTTTTGGCTTAGTTATGAAATTTATAAACTTTAATTTGTCAATAAAAATTGTCATACAAAAATATCGACTAAAAACTGGGAATATTTTAAGTTTGTAGATCAATTTCCCATTCGATGTTACAATTCGAATGCAAACTGAAAGTATTTAGTTAGTTTCCTCTCTTATTAAGAGTGTTTTCCACTTCGTCTAGGCCATAATTTTTACCCCATCGCAATCCTTTATTATTTTTTCATTGTTGATTTGCTGCATTTGCATGAATGTGAAATGCGGAATGCGAAATTTCAATGGTGAATAGGCCCAGGAAGACCTTCCTGCAGCCATGCAGAGTCCATCCTTTGCCCCCGCATTTTATTGTTTTCGCACTGCAACGGACTCTCGAGCTTTTCCCATGGCTTTTCCTGAGGCTTTTCCCTCCATCGCTCCACCGTTTTCCGCGTCTCCAATTGTTTTGGTTTTTTGGCTGCAATGATTGCATAAAGGCAGCCAGCCAGAAGCCAGCAGCTAGCAGCCAAGGAGCAAAAGGACAAAGGAATGCCCAAGCTTTGTTATTGGATTGCTCTGCCATTGCGATTGTGTGCGTAATTGCGAGTGTGAGCATGCGTATGTGTTTGTGTCAGGAGAGCAAGGTTAAGTCGTTGGGATTTTACGCAGAGAAGATTGCAGATTCCTAGGGAGCTAAACAATGGCTCATTCCTTTATCTCAAGGACGAACTTGAAACGGGAGAGGATATGGGAGTTTTGATAGGTTAAGCTTATCATTAAAAGACAATATAGTGCGCTAAAAAACACAAGTATTTTACAAATAAAAGCTATTAGCTATGTAAAAATTAAAATACCTGAAACTAGTTAGTTTCATTTAATTTATTTGTAATCTTTTAGCTTATTATTATGCAATTCTTTTATGCTTTTTTTATATTCCCAACCACACAGTTGTTAAAGAATATAATTAAAATTTCAATTTACCCCCCCCCCCATATAATTAGTATCTTTTTCATGTTTTGTAATACAATTATGAATATTGTATCATTTTAGTTGATGGCTTAATTAGCCTGATTTAATCAGGTCAAAGCATCAAAGTGGCCAAAGAGATAAAGTGCGGCTAAAAGTGAAAACCCAATCAAAGCGACCATATTCCAGAGAGAGAGAGAGAGTAACATTATACCCCGAAACTTGTAGAAACGGGCACAAAGAATTGGTAAGTGAAACTGGCAAAAGTCAGCCCTATATATGTACATACACAACCTATAATAAGTACTATATATATATATATCCTGCAACCACTTCAAAAGGCATAAACATAAGCGTTGCAAAATAAATAGGAAAAAGGCCCGGCGAAAATATGCGCAATGCAATGGAACGGCAAAGGAAGCTCATAAAATTAATTAGAACGTTGCCGTCCTGCTCCGACATTATCTCGCAGTCCCTTTCATTTGCATTGGGAAATACTTTTTAATGCCCCCAAAAATGGGGTCGAAAAGGAGCTAAAAGCGGGCTAAAAAGGGGTGTAAAGGGGGTTGGTGGCTAAAAGAGGTGACCAAGGTGAAAGCTTTCCAAAACTCAATGAGCGGTTAAATAATGCCCGTGGCGTCTGCCCATTTTCCCGCTTTTCCGCTTTTCCTGCCGTTCTCCTTTGCATCCGTTACTTTCGCTTTGTTTTGTGTTAGACTCCTATTCAGGCACTGCATTTCATTTCAAAAAATGTCCAGCATTTTCTCCTTTTTTAACTTGGTTATTTTATTTTTTTTTAGAATATTTTTCCTGTATTTTTCGTGCATTTTTGCATAGCATTTTACAGCTTCATTTCCGACATTTCGCGTGCTTTTGGCAAAAAATCTATTTAATATATATGAGTGTATATATATATATATAGAATTTTTTTATGCGGCTGCCATGTCCAAAAGCATATTTTGCTTTCCATTTTTTTTATGCACCGAATTTGTTATGCAATTTTTTTTTTTGCTTTATTTAAATTTGAGTTTGTCTTTTTGTAAATATATTTTTTTTCCTGCTGCCTCAACTGCGAGCAATTTGCAATGGAATCGCTTAGTTCCTGCGGAAAAATCGGTGGAAAATGGGAGAGGAAAACCGGGGCACTGAAGAGATTGCAGGCAGTGCATAATTTTATTTGTTTTTGTGTTGATTTCATTTGCAGTGCTTATACTTTGGCCCGCCTTTGTTTTTCCAGCGTTTGTGTTGCTTCGCTCTACTCTGCTCTATTTATGTTAAATTAATGCAATTGTTTCGGCTGGGAGCAAAACGATGAAAGTTATTTCACGTTGGGGGAAATTTACTCTCTAAACGAGTCCTTTGAGTGATTCAATTGAATGAATTGCAGTTATTTCAGATTTTTGTATAGGTTTTGTTTATTGAAATTGAATTTTTTAGAGGATTAAAAAAGAGTTTAGCAAAGGGTTGGAAAGGACAGAAATGTTTGAAATCAGTCATCGGAAAGTATAAATTAAATAAAGGATTTGTAGTAAATTTAAAAGGAATTTTAAGACGTGTAAAAATAATATATATATATATATATATACATTACCCTTAATTAAATAATATAAATTTGGTGACTTGTCTTAATAAGTACAACACTTTCCTATAGTTACCTAAAATGTGAGGTACTTTTACTTGATTGAAAGGCGTAATTTAAATCAAAAATATAATTTACAAACAGAAAATGTAGCTTTAAAATTAGCATATAATATATAATTCATAATTAAATTAGTTGAAATAAGTAAATTTTTAACGCTGTGTAGCCTAAAGTATACCCTTTGACTATAGTATTTGATTATAGGCACTTTAACCCAATATCTTTACATCCCAAAACCTTTTCTAAAGCTTAATCAAAACACACTCTAAATCTAAAAGATAACTTGAAATAAAAACACAACTTTCAATCAACCGAAATTCGCATCTTCATTATTTCAATTCGGATGCAGTCGGCCAGCCGGAAAACACATGTAACCCATGTTCCGGGCTTAGCCTGCATTTGTGTCTCTGTGTCTGTCTCTCTGTCTGTCTGTAATTTATTCCCAAGATCCTTTTGGGGCCAAACTGACTGACTCAATGACTTTGGTCTACTCGGAAATCCCACATCCCCCGCATCCATTCGGCCATGTCTCTCCTCTCTCTTGGCCTGATTGTTCAGCTGGTGTTCGTCGTCCACTCGTTGAACTCATCAGCAAAAGTTCTTGAACAAATTTGCAGCAATTTGTATTTCGGTTTTAGTTTGGCGTTGATACGGCTACAAATACAAATATAGTGTACATCTAACACCTAGATGCGATGGCTATAAATTTCACTAAATTTTATAAAGTCAACTTTTGTGGCGACGCCCAAGAAGAGGGGAGGAGAGTTCAGGAGGTTAAATTCGAAGGGGATAAGAGCAGAAAAAAGAAAGAAAAAAGAGTGTAAAAAGGATATGGACGGACACTAAGTGCTTCTCGCACGTACCACAAGTAAATGTGTTTATGTGTGTAGTACGTACGAGTGGAGAGTACACGGAGCCCGAAAGGATGAACATTATATACATTCATGGTTAGACTTCCGTACTTGGCCAACACAGATACGAACACACACACACACGTGGCAAGTGGCACGTTAAGCACCCAACATTGACTACCACAATAGACAACATTAAAGCCGGTTTGCCAGCTTCGGCTTTCGCATTTCCCATTTCCACTTTCCGCATTTTCCTCAATTTCCCCCAGCTGTTTGTCCCTCCTCATTGCCTTCGTTTTAACGTCTTTGGAGATCTCTCAAAGCGTTTTTCTCGCTTGCTTTTGATCATCTCACTTTTTCAAATACTCTTAGAGTAAAGGGGTATAAGGAATCATAGTTGAGACTTAAAACTCGAGAAAAATATATTAGAATATCGAATAAAATAAGGAAATTTTGAATTTTAAGTTTTTATCTTATCAAAATCAGTATTTCTAGTTATAAGTTAATAATAATTAATTAATTAAATTAATAATCTTTAAGATCACAACATTTTTCGAATAATTTTAATACCAAAAACTTTAACTTAAACTTATCAAGTCTAATTTGTTGCATTTATTATATTTATGTCTTATATTTTTGTAAACCGAATAAAGCCAAGGTGTTTACGGCTCAAGGTTTATAACATTTAAACGATTATCTTTAGAAGCGATTTTGTGTGTAGGTACAATCCTGTTTTTTTATATTCTTTTCCTGAAAACACCTTCAAATGTAAATCCTTATTGTCTATTAAAAAAAGAAGTCTATTGAAAGTACTCCTTAAGTCTCCCCCTAAAATCTCCCCCTATCAAATCAAACACCTCTTTTTAAGAGTATAAAAGGCTTCTGCACTTCAATGATTCCCTATTTTCTTTTTCCCCGTTTGCTTTTCTCTATGTTATATTTGGAGTTTTTCCTCTCTCAGGGCGCGTTAAAAAGAAGAATAGACACATGTGAGCAAATGCCGGGAAAATAAGTAAAAACGAGCATTGTACGTTATATTTTTATTTTGCTTCATTTCTTTCGCTCCCTGCTCCCTGGTACCGCGTAAATTTTACAAATACGTTTGGGGCAAAGCAAAAAAAAAAAAAATAGAAGAAAATCCTGTGTGTTTGCGTGTCCTGGCAGGAATTCCTCTCTATTTGCTGGAGTACGCGTCTCTCGGCTCGGGGATCTGTCTCTAAACCAAGTGCAAACCACCAAGCGAGACAGAGTTTTTTATGTTTGGCTTAATAAAAATACATTTCGCACGTGGAACGGAAGAGGAACTTCACCCACTCAACTGGCTTGCCACTCCACTTTGCGTGCAAAAGTCCTTTTGGTCCTTCGTTTTTCCTATTTGCCTAACTGCACTGTGAACTGAGAAAAATCAACTCTGAAATTCTAAGGGGATTTCTAGAGTCGCATTTATATATATTTTTTTTGTAGGATAAATTTATATAATCTGTTTACAAGTAGTACAAATCGTTGGCTATAGATTGTAATTCTAGGTTTATTTTTTAGTAGGATAAATATATCTAATATGTTACTATATTCAAGTAGTACAAATCTATTTAGTTGTATTTCTAGCATTTCCTAAATTAATTAATTAATCATTTATTACTTACAGTATAGTAAAAGTTTTAGTTCTTCAATATGTTCTTTTGCTATGAAAGGGTTTAGTTTTGTGCATTTCAGTTGAATGCTTCTGATGCTCCAAAAATAAACCCCATTCAGGCACATACCCCGCACCCACACCCATGGATAGATGGTAGAAGCAGCACACTTACCGGAAAATCCTTCCGGACACGTACAATTGTAGTAGGCCACACCGTCCACACATGTCCCACCATTTTGACAGGGACCCGACCAGCATTCGTCCCAATTCGTTTGGCACTGGATCCCTGTGTAGCCATCAATGCAGTAACACGAGTACGAGCTGTTATAGTTGTTGCAGTTTTCCCCATAGTTCCGGTTCGTAGGAGCAGTAGTAGTAGTTGTTGTTGTTGTTATTATCATCGGCACACGTGGGCGGAGGACGAGTCCCAGGTTTATCCGTGGGTGGAACGTTGTGTCAATGATGCATCAAACGTTGCGAAAAAACACCAGCAGCATCGGCACAGCAAAAGAAATGAAACAACAAAAAAATATGTATTATAGTTAGAGAGTGTGGTGGCAACGGGAAGGCGAACAAAATGCTTTGGATAAAAATAGTTACAGCAAATGGCACAACACGGGCGGGCAGTACAGAGAGCGTAGATAACACGGTGCACACCACTCTGGACTATAATGGCAGTTTGGCGTAATTGAAGTGACGGTTCTCTGGCCCAGATGGGCGGGATAGATACGGCCCAAATCCCTGGTTATCTAACCTGTATGACTAGCAGAGCTGAGAACACAATCGATAGTTTTTTGTGGATATACATCGGATGGAACTAATTAAAAACAAGAAAGGAAACTAACTTCCGGAAGTCGAAGTTTATATACACTGTGCAGATGGCCATCGATCTTAACTAAGCTCTAAATATTCTCATTCTTTGAATCGATATGAAGATCAATAATATATATGGTTTGGAAATGACTTCACTTCATTTCAAGCTTCTGGCTGAATATAATTTACTTAATTTTGTAATATTGCATTTTCATTAATATTTCTTAGATCACTTGAAACTGTAACCATATATTCCCAATCTCGCACTTATTTCCCTAGTATTACAGTATTTTTCTGAATAAATTACACAGACTTTTCACATTTAGCTCTCCTGCATTGCTGCAGGCACTGCACACATATTATATACCCTACAACCAACTGGCTCGGCCAGTTGAGTGCCATAAACATTTGACCAACGTGTAACACTACACTTGAGTTGTGGAAATAAATATTTGGTAGACATTTGGGATTGGGTTCTCCTTTTTCCATTTCCATTTCCATTTCCATTTCTATTCCTATTTCATTGCCCTACCTGAAATTGAAATTGAAACGGAAGCGGAAATGCAAAGAGCCAAAAATGTGTCAGGGGAGCTGGGGCGGAAGAAGCGGAAGGAGCTCCATGCAGACATGCAGGAACCACAGCATCTCCAGCTTAATTAAAGAAGTTTACCCCCATGCCTCCACTCCTGGGGATGTATTTTTGGTGGGGGCTTGGGTCTGGCTTATGTGTTGTCCTTTATAATGGATTACATTAGGATGCAGGTGCTCGGGCAGGCTCCCGCTGCACTTGTCTGTTATGGTCTAAGTTAGAGACACACTCGCCTGTTGTTCTCACAGCCCGTTGTTAGTCTCTGTCTCAAAACCGAGTGAAACCCTCGAGATTCGGGGCTGATTATGGCCTTCGGTTGGACATTTTCACCCCGGAGACCGTTTGATTTGTTGCCTTCAGCCAGTAGCAATTGGGAAATGACTACATAATGGCATTGGGCTGCCACTCTGCGGACTGAATACCAGAGTGGAAGGCCAACCAGGTATTGGAACGATCTGTAGAAGTGGATGGGTTTTTGAGAGGCAGTTAGTAAGAAGTGTTTTGCTAATATATTCCAAAAATCTCATGTGAATTGAAACCACTCAAGGAGGTGGCTAGGAATAGGTAATAATAAAGCAAGGAACCAGTTTTTCCTTAGTTAAATCTCCACGGCACCACATAGTTCTGGCAATTTGCCAAGCAAATCATATCTTAAATCCGTATCCAGCTTTTATAGTAGACTTTTATTGGCCGCCACGCTACAGTTTTAAGAGCCAACTCATAAAACGGTTAAATGCAAGCTTATCGAGAGCATAAACCGGGATAAACCAATAAAATATCAATGTTCTTCAATGGCAGTAAACTTCTTTGCGATTATCAATCGCCGTTGCTCTCCTTTTTTTTTTGTTGCCAACTTTAAGATGGTCGAAAACTATTCATGTTAATCCGTTTAAATCTCATGGCATCGTGTTAAATTTAATTGCAGCTATAAATTTCGCTTGCCAACACATAAACTTTTCCATCCATCGCCTTAGTTTTTTCGTTTTCTTTTTTTTTTTTTAGCCTGGGAAATGCAGCCGGGGAAACATTTCAAGCTTCTGGTTTTCGCATTTGACTTGCAGCTTTCGCGCGGAGCTAGCTATCGTGAAAAAATATCTTAACCGCTTTTCCTGACTGGCAGTCTTGGGTGGTTCTGGGGCGGGATTAGCGGGCTGCATATATCGCGAAGTGAGCATGGAAAAATAAAATGGCAGTTACTTAGTTGTATAAATGGCGTCAAGTAGAGCGATGTTGGTTTGCGTAGCAGTAGCAAAAAAAAAAAAAAATGAAAATCCTTCCTCTTCTAACTTGTTTGTGCATAATGTATATATGTCTGACTGTGGCTAAATCGTGGGGCGAAATCTCTGGCAGCTAAGCCTCACAGTTAACCCCACTGAAGGACGGAAAGTGCAGCAATTTAAGGGAATTCTCCGACTTGGAGAACGCAGAGATTCCAGTTGATACTGACAAAGGATTTGCATAGATTTCTTTCAACGAAGATACGAAAAAGATTGCAAAGTCTTGTAATTTCATTAAATTCCCTCAACAATCTGGGTAAAATTCTTTAATAATATTTGCAATATTTAGCATATCTTGGCTGTATATATTCCCCATTAAAAATGCACTTTGGCTGACCGTCCAAGTTAATAATTTTCCAGCTGCTTGCAATTGAAACCCACTCAGCATACTCCTTCCTCTTTCGCTTTTCCAGCACTTGCAGTGGCCGCAACTTAACCCCATTTAAACGGGCATGCATTAAAAAAAAAAGAAAAGTGTGAAGGATGGCGGTAAGGGAATCCTGCCGGAAAATGAAAGGAGGCGGAGGAGGAGGTGGGTGGTACATCTGTGGCAAATTCATTTCCCTGCAAAGTGGGGGAGCATCGACATCGAGGGCTCCACATATGCCATTATTTGGTATCGTATCGAATGGCCTGAGAAGGGAACTGCAACTGAAACTGTGAGCTCTCCTGAAGCTCAAGTGGCGCAAGTTTATTGCCACTCGAAGTGCGTTGGACGGGCTTATTGGACGTTGCCTGGGCCCATAATAAGTATGATAAAAAACTGGTACTATAGATGGTCCCCAGGATCTAGTGAAGTGCAAGGAAGTGCTGCAAATTTTCAAACTACTTGATCAGCAGTGAAGAAACCCAGCATTTTATATCTTTTTTTAGTGGTAAAGCAAGTAAAATTAATTTAATTTCAGTGTAATTGCCATCCCCCATTTGTCCCCATTTGCTGTATTGAGTTATCTACGTGAACTCACCTGTTCAGGCCATCGATGCAGACACCGAATACACAGGGATTGCTGAGGCAGGCGAAACCCGCCTGGCTGCTGCCCACAAGTACGCCCAGGATTAGGGCTGGAAGCAGCAGGCTCTGGGCCAGTATCCTTAGTGCCCGGCGAGGGACTCTTACTGCTGACGATGATGCTACTGCTGCTGCTGCTGCTGATGATGATGATTTGGTGGCTGTTATCGTTGGTTTCTCTATTGTTGCGGTTGGCATCTTTAGCAGGTGGTTTCGTTGCATGTCCTTCGGCTGGACAGCCACCAGTCCAGTGGTGGTGGCACCATTGGCTGTCAGCGGTGTGGTTGTTCGAGAGGTGCCGAGGACCTCGTCCTCGCTCTCCCATTGCGAGTGTCCCAACGGGGGACCGTGGCGAATCGTGTCGCGTCTAATTTGGGGCAGTTGCGCCATTGTCTGCGTATCAATCCGATGCACGTTGATCATACGCCCCGTGGTACGGAAAATGTAACTTTGATTAGTGCCGAAGCTGCTGTTGCTCCTGCCGGAGATGGAGTTGGAATATTGCTTCCACTTGGATGTCCTCGTTGCTGGTCGTCGTCGTCGTCGTCGTTGTCTATCCGCTTAAGTGCTTTATTAGTTCGCATTGTTTGCTCCACCGATTGTTCGCTGGCCCAGCGGTCCTTGAATGCAATCTGCGTCGCCTTCGCATCGCATTCGCATCCTGCAGCTCACAGTCTGCAATTTTATGATTTGTCCCTTCTATTTGGTATATTCTGCTTTTGTTTTTGTTTGTTTTCTTTTTCTCAATGCTGCTTATTTTTTTAGAGCTCTTTTTGGTTGGGATTGCTGCTGCTCTTGTGGTAGCTCACATTGTTGCCATTTCAATTTGCAATCTGGAAAAATTGTGAAGAGAGCATACAACAAATATCATGAATACTCTGGATAATATTGCCGCAACAATTGTTAAAGAATGGTGAAAAGCTTTTGGTTTGCCGCTCTCAAGTGGCAATTAAATAGTTAAAAGGGTTGCCGCAACAATTGGTTAACAATTGCCAGGCCTGATGCAATTATTATTGTATTTTATTTGAATCCAGCAAATTGATTGCTAAAGGGAGTGGAAAAAAACTGCAGTATTATAAATGAAAATATTAAATAAATGTCATCGGTTATAACTCAGCTTGATAAATCCTATCGAAATATTTATAAACACCCAATAAACTTTTATAGATTTAAGACTAAATGTTCTCTAAAAACTAAAAGTTTTCAAATGTAAACTTAAACTAAAGCACAAACTATGTACGTATAAACCCTCAAAGCTCAACACTTTGTGTGACAGTCGAGAATAGTTTTATTTGTCAGCTCCAAAAGCTGGAGAACTAATCCATAATGCCGGCATGTGGCTTTCCATTTCATTTCGCTGCTCCTGATGGCCAGATGTATACTACATTTTCCCATTTTCCCATCACACATATGTGTCAAAATAAACCCTAGAACTTGTTCGCATATCACACATATGTTGAGAGGATTTGGGTTAGTTTCGGTGCTTTTTGGGTACTCTCATGAATCGTTCGAGGGAGGGATGGAAGTTCAGAGTATTGTGACAGTTAGTAACATGTCTAAAATAGGTCGATAGTTTAGTATAAACACATTGAAATATACCTCTATTTTATATTACTAAAATAATGTCAAATATCTGGAACAAATATATATAACTGCCTTGCTATACAATATATGATCCTCTAAAGATAAGTATGTTAAAACTATCAATTATGTCTCCTGGCTTATTTGTTTTAAATACTTCAAATTTGATACTGCATGTTAAAAATTTGCAGAAAAAATTATAATAACCAATTATAATGCTCAGAAAGCTAATTTAATTATAGTTTTTCTTCACGGTGTGTGAAGCACCAAACAATTTCCAGACACATATGCTTCTACAGACAAAAAGTTAACTACATTTCCCTTTTTTTTTACACATCTCTTAAAGCAAAGAATACTTTTTTTCCATGACATTCGCTGAATATTCACGACAAAAAAGAAGTCCAGTAGCAAACTGTGAACTGAAACCTGTAACGTCAATTATAGTGAAGCACCAAAGAAACGGACATTTTGCTATGGCAACGGACCAGGACGCGAGGACATGGAATGACTAGCGACTGGCCCAGGATCAGGACTAGGATTCGCAGCTAGGCGACTCATAACTTGACTGCACCATCAACATAAATCCGACTTAACTTGGCCAAATGGTCAGCGGCCAGTGGTCAGCAACTGTTGCAGTCCTGGGGGAATGGGGAGTGAGGCATTTGTTGGCCATATTGTTCGAGTCCGACGTTTTGTCCAACGTCAGTCATAATGTTGGGATTATAGCCAGATAATGCGGGAAAATGTAGGGAGCTGACCAACTAGGGATAGAAATTAGAGTCGTTGCACAAATTGAAAGATGCAAACGTTAACGTTGACTGACTCGCATAAACTTATCATATATCGCCATGGTAACTGGTGCATACGCAGCCGCAAAAACATTGTGCACTCGGGGAAAAATATTATCAAAAAGGTTTTAGAAATCAAATAGTTTTATTAGTATATAAGATATGAATACACGCTACATTTCAATTTAAAGTGCTTTAGAACAATCAATTAAGAATATGAAATACTAGAAACATATTGAAATCAAAACCATTTCATCTTATAGGTTTTGAAGATAGAATTTATTGTATACTTCCGAGTCTTTGGCTGTTTTAATGAATTAAATTCAATATTCTTTTCATACATAATTCAAATTTAAAATATGAAAGACCCTTCTTATTTCTCCAAGTGCACACCGTGTTGTCAGTCTGCCGCCAGGCAATAGATCCTGATGATGCTGATGAGGCTCCAGTTACCGTTGTTGTTGCTGCTGCTGCCATTTTGCCATTACCAACTGCATTGTCAGGAGGCTAACAACAATGAGGACCGAGATGCAAAAAAAAATGCAATACCTGGTTGCATGGTAGATAGGGAAAAAGGTGGTCTCAGGATGAAGGAATACAAGGTGGGGGAACTATCGGGCGTACATGGATATCATCACATTGCTGATGACGGCAGGCGACGAGAGGCAGCGAATGAATTTAGCTTGTAAACACAGGCAGCATGAAAGGTGCACGGTTGGCTCAAACTGGCCAAGAGCCAAGTTACCGGGGCGGCAAGGGTATGAGATGGGGCTGAGTGTCCTGGAGAGGCAATCTCGAATTGCCAGAGAAGAAGCCTCGAGTTGTTCAAGTTGCAGAAGAGACATTGCCGAGTGGCAAGCACTTTTCCCTTCCTCTTCTAGCCGGGGAAAAGCTATTCAACATGGAACAAACAACAATTTTGTCCATTTTCATGCTGACAAACCAGTTGGGAATTAAAAGTTATCACAAGCGATAAACTACTATATAAATTTTTAAAAAGAGCTGAATTTAGATTGAGAACATTGAAGAACATAACTACATTAATTCTTTTAAAGTATAATCATAAATATATTTACTACATTTTTGTGAGATTCAATTCTTTGATTAAAATATCAATCATTTATTAATCCAATGTAATTTAAAAGCAAGTTTCTGTTCACGAAAATAAATTTCCTGCAGGTCATTGCAAGCTTTTAGCAAGATTGTTTTTTTCTCGAAAAGGTAATTAAACATAAAACTTTAACAAGATTTTCGTACCATTTTCCTTTGATGAATTTAATGTTTTTTGGGCAATCGTTAAGCTGGCAATGTCACTGCCTGGCACCTGCAGGTAACAGTGCGACATTTTTGGTAGCTGCAAAAATGTTAACTAGCGCAAAAAGAGCCATAAAACCGAAGCGTTTTCATTCTGGAAATTTCACGTCCACCTGAAATAAAAGCCAGTGGCCAAAACTGAGATCTCTGCAGCCTAGATGTTTTGGCTTTTATTGTTGCCACTGCTGTTGCTGCCATTTCTGTTTGGCTTTTTATGGCATTTGCAGAAACTGCAACTTTGTGAAAGTCTCAGGGGGCTTGGGCTTCCTGGCAAGGGGCAAGGGGAAGTGCCATTAACGTGGCCCATTTGCTAGCTCCCTGTGTGTGTGTGGGAGGGTGTGTTGACATAATGTTGCAGATTTGCTGGAGATGACGGTGTTGCCTGTCCTTCAAGGATTTGACGACATTAATGAATGGGCCTTGTTAGGCAATGTGTAATCTGGTGGGGTAATTATAAGCAGGTTTTCGGCTGCTTCGTTAGCCCTTCACGATGATGATGATGATGAGCAGGGGGATACAGAGTGACAGATCTCGGCGGAATAACCAAGAATTCTGGGAAGGTTGGAAAGATAAATGACCAAAATACGGATAGTGATGGATTGTAGTGTGAATTACAGAGGCAAATTGGTAAGAAGATATTCTGAACTACCTAACAGAAACAGGAAGTATTAATGGTAATGAATAAATTAGTAATTAGTCTTCAAGTTATATTGTAATTAATAAATTGCCTAATGTACATCAATCAACAAAGATAGCTAAAATACTATTATAGGTATAACTTCAGTTTTTCCAGTAATAAAAATGTTGTAAATATTTATATAACCTGCAGTATGAAAGTTTGTACCTTGAACTACTCTTACTTTAACAAGTACAGAATTTGGTGACTAATTCATATTTTTCAATTTTTTTAAACCTTTTAAAATAGTTATTTTTCAAAAGAGAGTAAGCCTTTGACCTCATGTTGTTCTAACTTATAATTGACTTTTTATTTGCTTACAGGATACTCTAGTCAGTAGCTTAAAACGCAGTGAAGAAGTCGTTTCCGACTCAATAAATCATATATATTCTTAATTAGCATCAAAATCTGAATCGATTTAATCTGTTTCTCGAAGTTAATTTTCTTTCTTGTTATTTATCCTTCAACTCTTAGTTATCACTTTCCATATTTGTCTTTTTTGGACGTCTTTAAATTTCTACTTGTGGATAATTTTAAGCATTTCGTAGAGAGCCAGGCTTTTATTTATTTGGTATTTGTCAGACCAAAGAAATTTGCTCGCATAAATTTAATTAAATTGTGCACATTTTTTGTACGTCTTGTGTTCTGCAATTTATGCAAAGCGCTTTCAAGTAAACAAGTGTTGGTATGAAAAGAAAACTTGAAATATGCTGAGACGGCAACACAGTGTTCGCTCTTTCTCCCCTTTTCATTTCATATTGTTAATTAATTCTGACAAATATTGTGCAAATATTTGGAAAAACTCTGAAGCCCAAAAACAAGGACGGGGCGTGAAAAAGCAAAGAAAGCAGGATACAAAGTTTGTAATAAGGACGGCAATATGCCAAGGCATATTGAGCCAGCAAAATCCTCATGTAAATTTGGCTTTTTTTGTGTGTGCTGTAATGTAGAGCGTGTGAAAATCGATGGCCAAAAATAAACAACGCACACACACACACTCATGTTAAAATAATTAACTTGTCTTTGACAAGACATATGAGTAAACACATTCCACTCTCGCTCTTTCTCCCTCTGTTAATAAAACACGCCATGTTTGCAGTGCACAAATACAATTACCTTTAAGTACCCCTGTGCCCCATGCCACAATGCCCACCTGTCCACCCGTCTGGCTGACCACCCCCTCATACCTATATTTCCCTCTTGGCCCTATCCACTCTTGGCAAACACGTGCTCGGCCAGCTACCAGTTCCGTTTGCTTAATACGATTACATGGTCTTTCTGTTCTACCCAACAACAAGCCCATCCCCCAAAAAGCATAGGCTACCCAAAACCATCTGACCAACGGATGTTGGACCACAGAGAGAGAAAAAATATGCTGATATGTAAATTTAAATATTATATTTTGATCAAGTATTGCATTGTTGTAAATATTTGCATAGGTAATCGCATAATTGGAGAGCCATGAGACACTTGC